TTGGCGGTAACAACAAAATGTTATTATAAACTTCTACTAGCGAATTATAATTCTAAAATCAGTACGAATGTGTATATTAAATTTATAATATAAAAAATAATAATATTTTTAAAAAATCTGATTTCATAAATTGTAATGTTACTACAATATGCAATAATTTTTGAAGGTTTGAAACATGGGTTGAAGGATGGCCGGTTTAAAACATCTTTGATATATGCGCCGGTTTGAAGCTTTGATAAGAGATTTAAAACTTTGATTTATTCGGGAACGGGTAGTTCTCGCAACTTTTTAATTTTTTCAAACTGACCTACCGGGATAATTGGTTTAGTATGCCGAAAATTTGTGTGCGTTATTCTACTCCGACTTATAAGTTTTAAAAGTGCCATTTTCTACTTGGTTTATAGAACTATAATTTAAATAATAATGTTCCAATTTCAATTTGTTCCATCAATTATCATTGAAAATAATTTGTATTCAGTTGCAACTGTCACACTTATTTTTTTTTACAAAAAATTTCTGTTATTTTCTTTGTCAACTTTAATAGCTTTAAAAATTCATTCATTGTATAATTTGTATTCTGATTGCATATACTGTAATTTCTCTCCATTAAAAGAGAACTTTTATTTTTATTTTTTTATAACAGTTAATAATAGGAATGCATTTTCTTAGAAATTATAAAATTCAAATTGCATTGCATTTTTATTAATTCTGTATTCCTCAAACAATATTGTATAGAGTTAAATGTACTGTGAAATTATTTAAAAAAAAAAAACACTTTTTTTTCTTGTTTATTATTTAATTGCTTCGTTCACAGTTATAGCACCCATATTTATATTTTAAATCTGATTTAAATTATTTGTATGTCATTATTATTGTTATTATTCATGCGAAATTTACATTACAAATCGATTTAATTGTGAATTTTCTAGATAATTTTTATTGCTTAATTTACTTATATACATATGTATACTATGTGTGTGTGTATAGAATAAGGTAGAAATCACTTTTGTATTGAGATATATATGTATTTATATTTATATGTTTTGTATTGATAACGATATATATGTATTTATTGTACATTGATTTTATATGGTTCATTTACCAAATAATTTATTATTACGATTTCATATAAACTTTTAAATTATTTTAATCTATAATTTAATTATCATTTGTAATAAATTTTAATTATGAATTGTTGACTTAAATTATTATGGATTATATTTATAAATTTAAACACAAAATTAAGTTTGAACTTCGCAAATAAAAGCTTGTGTATTAATATTTTTATGTTACTGTGGTAGCAGTAATTATTTCAGGTTATAACCAATAAAACTATTTTTTGCTTTATTATCTTCCATTTAAAAAAATACGTAACATAACCCACTGAACAACTCTGGAATTAGTACCACACCCTAATTAGCACTTCTAAAATGTGCTGTTTTGCAAGCCGTGGTAACTACAGATCATCGTAAACCTATATTTCGAAGCCTATTTAAGCCAACCGTTTCTCTTGACCAATCCGTATAATTCTCCGACAACAATCTTCGATATCACGTCCAGTACCGTCACGCTTTTTCCCACCCCTGTGACCAGTCTTGCTTCGCCGAGATCGTTGAAATAATGAAAAATAGTTTCGTTCTAGTCCATTTCGCATGCTTTCCCACTAGAAGTAACCTGTGTAGACGCTAGGAGACGAGAAATCGCTAAGAGGCCATTCAATTTCGTAAGATCGTATTTTAGCCACATTTTTATTGGCATGTGAACCGTATGTGAGCAGAGGTTTCTACTCTAGAGTTCTAAAGAGTAGCTCTTTTGAAGAAAACATACTAACTTAAAAGTTTTTAGACTTTCTACTGGAATATATGTATATGCGTATAACTACTTCTATTAATTGAATTGAAAATTCTACAAAATCAGCAGTTTTGCCTTAGTGCCACAAAAAATATTAAATAATTATGATATAAACACCTGTTTAAGGAGTTATCAACTTCTATGTAGTAAAATAATATTCAATTACTAATATCTGTTCACAGTATATTGTTTTGATGACTGAAAAATAGCATTCTGTTGGGATTTCAAATCTAAATTTAGAAATATTTTTTTTTTTTTTTTTGCATTTTCTTTTTCTGTAAATATTAACGTTATAACGCAACAGGTACCTTTACTATTTTAAAAAATAATTACAAAAAATTTTGTCTCGGGTTTTCTATCCATTTTAATTTTTTATTATTTTAGGTACATATTTTCGCTTCAGGTTTTCACTGCATAATTTTTTATGAAATTATTTTGCATTACTTAAGAAATTAAAATTTTTTTTTTTTTATTAAGGTTTATTAAATTCAAATCACATTCCATTATAATATTTAATTTTTTTTTTATATGTGTTTTCAACTTTTATTATAAGTTCGTCTTCATTATTTAAATTTAATGCAATATATATGTATGTATGTATGCATAATATGTAAAAGACATTATCGTCTTTATGATTTTCATTTATACATCACTATGGGTGCCATCATATCTATTTAAAATCGTTAAAAATACTTGCATAAGTAAAGTACGTGTTTTATAGCATAATATTTTATAGTATAACACTTTGAAAATTCTCTTATACATAATGTATACTTATATATTTCAACAATATTCATAAATGAGCACTCGTATATAGTTAGCAATATAAAAATTTAAAGTGCATCATCTACATTTTCAAAGTATATATAGAAACTCTAAATATTTTATTGTACATAAATATTATTTAATACAACATTGTATGTATGTACATATAGAATGTGTATTCTTTTACATATCTTTATTAATTTGTATGAGGAAGTTATTGAGTATAATATGACTATATTGTACTTAAAGTGTGTTATAGCTCTGAATATTAAATGATATTATAAGATTCATTAATGAATTCTGTATTCGGGAACACATTGCATTTACATATTTTTATATTATATGGCACTTTAAAATACGAAATATATTATGAAGAGCATAGTTGTTGAATATAGTGGTAACACGTCCTTATATATGCATATTACAGCGATATACAACCTGCTACATAATATGCAGGGGAGCAAATGAAAGCATTAAGTTTTATGAGATGGTAAATTAACAATTACGAATTTTTATAGAGTCAAAATATTGTAATAATATGTAAAATATAAAAAAAAATTTTTTTTTTGACATATTTATTAATAGCCAGAGGGAAATTTTTATTAATATTTTTCTTTTGCTCTTTTTGGGTTTTTCTTTTTCAAATTGAATTTATTATTATTTTAGTACATTTTTGTTTTTCTTAATTTTTATTATTGGTTAAATTAACTATTGTCGTATAATTTATTCCGTCATATATTTTAAAATTATGGCTGACTGCATTTATTAAAATTATTTTTAAAGAATTTTAAATTCTCTTTATTTTTTAGTATAAGAGAATCTCGTTTTTGTTATGATTAAATATATAAAATATATTGTTGTTTAAGGTTCATTAAATTATAAGATTTTAATTATTTTAATTGTTGGCACAAGTATATATTGGGGGAATTTGCAACAGATTTCAATTTATAAGTATATATGTGTATTAAGTGTTAAGGCATTACCGTTTATTTTACAATAACAGTAAAGTGCAGATATTTATTTTCTTAAATGAATCATAAAAACTTTATTTCATGAGATTTAGTCTAGTTTAAGAGGATTTGATCTCATATTTATGATTATATGTTTTAAAAAAATTTAAGAGGGAAGAATTTCAAAATTTCTTCACTTATAGAGATGACACTTTTAGCAACTAATTTTGTAAATAATGCTAAATGAATTTGAAGAATCGTCGGCCATTGCCGTTCACCACTTTGGTTCTGTTTTTACAATAAAAATTTCAAAATACACACAATTATAGAAACCATAAACGACTGGATATTCAGCATTAAATATCTTTTAAATTTAAATTTAATTTTATTTAAGGCTGAAACTACCATATACATAATATATGGTCGCTCAAAATTTCTGAGTATAAAAGGTTATAAGTAAAAGTTATATTTTTTTTTGAGTATACAAAGTTATGAATTAATTACATTAATTTTAAATCAAATGCAATAGTATCGTAATTCGATATTTTATAATTTTTTTTTGTTAATTTAATTATAAATTTTATTATTACGAAATTTGTTATTGTTTAAAGCAAAATATAAAGTTGAATTCTACAGAATAAATAATTTGCTAATTAAAAAAATTACTTGTACTTAATGTAATCGTGGGCTAATTATTTTGAAATTCTTAAAATTACTCACACTACCCTCATCTGACAAAGAAATCTTTAACCTTTGTAGCTTCTTAAATATGAAAATAACACGAATGGGTAGGAGCAAGGTTAGAATCATCATGGGTGTCCTAGCAAAATACTACCCTCGTTTTCACTCAAGGGTCACGTGAAGGCGAGGGATTTTGCAAATTCTGTGGGTAAATGAAAGAGACTTTGATGCACCTTCTTGGTGAATGAAAGGTTCTGAGAGGTTGCGTCCTTGCAGCAAGAAAGCTCGATCCACACTAGATAGTCGAATTTGCACATCTTAGGTCGCGGTACTTTATTATACCCCATGTTTAATCTAATCTATTCTGATATAGCTTTATAAATTAAATTTTTAAAAAAATTTTTAAAAAAATTTTTATAGTGTAATGGAAAATATTGTTTACAAGAATTAGGCCAAATTTACATTGTCCCTAACGTGATGGAATTTTTAAACTTTATTTAACACTCTTAAGTCATAAAATCTTTTTTCTCCCTCTCTCTTGGAATTTATTGCTAACAGCACAGTCGAGAGACTCTCAAATATATTTTAGAGGCTAGAAATATTGAATAGTTTAAGTTAAATTACCATCGAAATTTCTAGTAAATTTCGTAAAAAATGAAATATAACTTAAATATTTTTTAATATTTTTTAACTTTCATACTTAATCAAATATTTGCTTATAATACCTATATTTTATTTCTCTTTCTCTTACAGATGTCACATCTATATTCAATATTTGCTAAACTTGTAAGTGATTATTGTAAAACAAGTTATGAAGTTCGTAATATACCAGTTGCACAATGTAAACGTGATTTACTAACTTATGCATCAGATAAATTACAAGAAATGCCTGATACAAATTTAGATTTATTGGATCCATATCAAAGAGGTGCTAATGATTTAAGTAAGTATTTTTTGTACTATACACAGCAAAAAAAAACCTAAAAAGTAATTTTTCAATAGAAAATTTGTGTTTATATTTCAACAACTCTTTAATATTCAACCTTTTAACTCTGTTACTGTTTATTTTACACCAACATAATCATTTTAATTATTGTGATTTCCTTTACCTTTTTCAAAATATTTACCTGTTTTGTTTTGGATTTACGCACATAGAGTCTTCTAAAAAATTTTTTTGTTGTTATTTCTTTGTTTCTTGTAGAGTAGCTGCTAGAGAAGAGTTGCATTCTGTACTTGATACATATATAAACATACATACGTAGTGTATATATTCCAAAGAAAACGCAAGTACTCGAAAAAATTATTCAATGTCAAATAAGTTTTTTTTATTTCTAACAACAAGAGTTTGTTATTATTTCGTGGTTTTTTTGGTTTTTTTTTAGAGGTCCATGGTCAAAATTGTTTTTTTTTAAAGAAAATCACTTTGTTATTGTCAATATAAAAAATTATTAGTTATTGTTGTGTTTTATTGTAGCGCATCATCTCTTTTAATTTTTTTTTGGGAAATTTTTTAAAAATGCTTATGGTTTTTTTTTTCTCTGTTTTTATTGTAATGCAGTAAGATTTGTGAGGCCAAATTTGTATATTTTAAAATATTTTAATATTTTTGAGTATTTTATGATTTTATTGTTTTTAAGATTATAACGGTAAAAAAATTAACATCTTTTAAGTTGATTTTAATTGTATTTAATTGAAATATGGTGGGCGATAAAATATTGAAGTATAATTGTCATGTATTTTAAGTATGATACATTGTTTTAACATTGTATATTTAATTGAAAATATTTGACAAGGTATTATAAAATTAAATTAAATATAAAATGTTATGCTCGTTCAAATAATTTATTAAAATTATCTGATTACAGGTATTTATTAGAGGCAACATAACGATGGTTATTTTGTGGGTTCTACTGCACATTCTATAGTGCATTTTATTATATTTTCTTAAATAAATTTCTATTGTATATCGATCTTAAGAAAACAAAATGTAGGGTTCGAACCATCCTAAAACTAATATTAGAATGGTTTATTTCTCAAATATTTTATTAAAGTAGTAATTTATATAATAATTTTAAATACATGTACCCAACACAATATTTTAAGAAGGTCTTTTATTCATTTTATTCAATATGATTACCATATTAATGGGTAGGGCCGCCATCCTATAAGCGAACACAAATTTTTTTCTTTATTTCAATTTTTCTTAAATATTAAGTAATTAATTTTATACCATACTTAAGTATTATGCCTAACAATTTATCAATAATCTTTCCAAAAATGCAATTTTCAAGAACTTTTTCAAAGACATTATTTTAATGTTTAGGTTTTTTTACTTTCAAAATTATTTTTATTTTAATTGTGTACAATAACATTAAAAATAACAAGATTTTCTCTATATATGCATACTGTATTTCATTTGAATAGGGTGTGAAAAAAGAATCTTCAATTCACAAAAATAAATTTGGTTTTTGTGGGTTGAAAATTAAAATTAAAAAAAAACGTTTTTGATTAAAAATAATTGCAAAATTTAACATAATCACTTGAAATTTTGATAATTTTTTAAGTATATTAAAATATAAGTGGGTATACCCTCTATATATAAATTATAACTTTTGAGCATACGTAATGTATGTACTAGATTACAGGTGTTCATATACACGTTATAAGAGCAATAATTTGGTAATAAAGTCATACTTCAATTATATTAACAAAAATATTCAAAAAAAAAAAAATTATTTCAATGTTATATAATATTCAAATTAATTTAATTTGTTAATAAGGTTAAATTATTTTATACATGGTAGGTAGGATTGTCGCAATAATTTGTGATTATTGATTTTTTTATTATTTATAACATAAGCTGCTCGCAACATTATACGAATTGATATTTTAAAAAATTTTATAACATTTCAGTGTTAGAATTTTGAAATAGAAAATATTAAGAGATCTCTGAAAAAGAGGGTATTTGGAAATAATATTTTTTAATAATACTTTCTGAGGTGACCTGGTATCAGAGAGACTCCATTCACGGCAGCCTATATAACCCCAACTATTAACTAGTCCACTAGGCAGGAATCGTATAACTCTGCCGGATTGAGAAGATTCATTGAACAAAGGTTTTAACCGTTACTTCATGCTCTTTGAGGTCTTTTTAGTTTTTGACCTTCCTCTCGACCTTTTATGCCCGAAAACGTTAGACCTACCAGATACTGCAGCTGACACAGTTCTCGAATTAATTGTTCTTACTTAAATTGCCTCACCATTTTGAGATGGAATTTCGCCAATGCAGATACCAACTTTTAATAAGATGGTCAGCATCAAATAATTATTTAATTCTGTTAAGCATAAGCAGATTAATTATTTATTTCTGTTTATAAAATGCGACACGTACTTTAAATATTGTGACAAAATTTCATTAATATTTGTCTACTATAATGAAAGCACTCTGGTCAGATTTATTTGATCAGCTTAATTGAACCAGAAAATTATTAAATTCTATTTAAAAAAAAAAAAATTGAAATATTTTTTAATAAACGAGATTTCACCTAAGGCAATTTATGGAGCCGACATTTCATATATTGAAATCAATTTAAAATCACTTTTAATTCCGTTTTATGTATAATGACTCGTTGACGGTAGTCCGTAATTCAATTTTTAAATTACGGTAGTTATTGTTATTATTAAATAGTTATTCTTTTAATTCTTAGAATTTCACAATTATTTTGAAATAAATTATGTATTTTCATATTTTACATACATTGCATAAAATTAAATTTAAAATTTTTCAGAAAAAAATTTACATACACTTGTAGTTCCGGTAACAAAATAACAAACATATTAAATGTCATAAAATGACACACAATTATAGTGAAAGAAAAAAAAAATATTATAATTTCCTCAATATTCTAAAAGTATTGCAAAAAAGTATTGTACATACATATATCTGAGTGTATATATATACACACAAAGATATAAATAAATAAGAATTTAAAGAATAAACAAAAACTTTTAAAATTTCCTTGTCGCTTCTATATGAAAAATAAAATGCTCTATAGAATATTAAATGTCATTAAGAAAGTATGTGACAGCCGCAATAAAATATTAAAAATGAATTATTCCGATTCAAATCACGTTTTTGCAAAAAAAAACAAAAAAATTTTTTTTTTTTTAATTTCGATGTAATTTAAAACGTTGTATTTGCTTTCTCACATTTTTAATAGAATTTTAATTATAATTTGAGTTTGCATTAATGTTTTTATAATTACAAATTATTCGCAAACAAGAATTTAGTAAACAAAATTATGTATATGTGTATGTATGTAAGTATAATTATGAGAATATTTGAGATCGCCGTTTTAATTCTAATGAAAAATATTTTTAATGAATTTTACCGAAACAGCTATTTGCATAGAAGAATTTTTGTGCCATATACTGGTTTCGTCAACATAAAATAATTTGTTGCGATATTTGGTTCTAGAATTAGTGTTAAATGATGATAGAATTTACTATGATTACTTGATTCAATCCTATAATTAAATTCATTAAAATTTTTACTATTTAATTTCAGTTTGGAATACAATTATGAAAGATCATCCAAATGTACATCCAACAACAAAACGTCCACAATATAATATTTTACAAGGATCTGGTATAATTGGTTCATCATCATCATCATCATCAAATCATATTCAAACAAATATTAGTCCAACAACATCAGCATTATCAAATGATGCATCAATTATACTATTTGGTAATCAAATAAATGGTTATCAAAAAAATCCATTATTTGATGGTATTGATAATAGTGCAACATCATCATTATCTTCAAGTTCAACAAATATAAATGGTAATGGTACATTCCCATCATCATCATCATCATCATCATATGCAATGGAAATGGATGCTGCATATGGTAATTATCATATACCAAATAATAATAATAATAAACAACAACAATATCAACAACAGAATAATAATAACAATAACATTAATAATATTAAAGATTCATTAATTAATTCATCTGGAATAATTGCATCACCATTATTATCATCAAATGTAAATAAACAAAATAATAATAATTATCAACAAATTTATCAAATTTCTAATACTGAAATATTACATAAGCCAACGTCACAAAATTACATTGCATCAGCATTACAACATCAACAACAACAACATCAAAGTTTAATTGAAACTTCAACAAATTATTTAAGTGGACCATTGGTAATACGTGTACGACCAGATGGTACACCAGTTGAAGAGGATAAATATAAGCCATTACCACGTGATGATGATAGAGATTTTATTATTGGTAATCATCAATTTATTAGACGTCAAAAAAATTTTATTGTACCAACATCTGAATTTATAGTCTATCCTCAACAACAACAACAGCAACAACAAGAGCAAGAACAGATTTTACAACAACAACAACAACAACAGCAATATCAAAGATATCAACAAAGATTACGACGTCAATATAGAAACAGTAACAGTTTTAGAAATATACACAGATATTAAATTTAATATGTACCTATATATACACATATACCTATGTTAAAATGTATAATACATGTATGTGCAGGGTAATACGAAAATTAACGATTAATAATGCATGTCGAGAATATAGAAATTATGATTTAGATGAAAGCCCTAATGGTGAAAATTAATTTTCCGTCTCCTTTTCAAGAATAACTTTGGTGTATTCTTTTCTTGTTAAATTTAAAATTACTTTCTAAATATGAATAATATTTTTTTAGGCTATAGCCTCATTCTGCTTCTCAGTTCACTTAAAAACTTCATTATAAGGATATACGATACTCAACCTCTTTCTACTCACCCTTTATCTCCATCCAGTGACAAGGAGGTGGCATACAGAATGCAGAATGAGGCACATAAACCTTCGAGCTTGAAAAGTTCAGCTCATATTTTTAAATATTTTAATCTCTTCCTTGCTTTGTCATAATTAATTTTTGAGAAGCCCTGTAGATTTATACGATGATATCAATATATTTTTCAATTGTGTATAATTTTATTACTATATATGCTTACTTTAATTTAGATATATGTGTATATGTTGTATTATTGTTAAAAAATATATTTTATGAACAATCAAAAATACAGACAAATATTGTACATATAGAATCAAATCAAAAAAGAAATTGTGAATAGGATAGGAAAACATTGATTTTTTTTTTCCTATATACACATATTTCTAAAAAAGGACAGTGATGATAAATTGAAAACTGATGTAATCAATTAGAAACAATTTACAATAGATTAAAATTAGGTCAACTTTGACTATTAGTAATAAATTGTATGAATAAAGGCGAGTGTAGGTGTGTGTTTTGTTGTTGTTGTCTGAATTTTGTTTTATTGATTAGAGTAAAAAAATGTGTGAATGTAAAATTAAAAGGACACCTCAATATAAATTTTTTTGTTTCTCTATATAGTCCTTATGTTATACATTGGAGTATGTTGAAAACAACATTGAAAATATTGATTTTTTATATTATGTATGTTAAATAATTAAAAATATTTTGCAATTGTGTTTTGTTATCAATTAAATTTTTTATGCAGTTATAAAAGCAGACAATAGCCTAGAATATTTGAAGTTGAAGAATATTTTTTGACCTTTTCAATTATATAATTCAAATATGTATTGTATAAATTGTAATAATTTTTAAAATTAATTAATGAATTGCTTACTACTTTAATGATTTTTTCATATAGTATTTTGAATATAAAAGAATTGTAATATTGGATAAAATTTTAGAGATTTGTATAATTTTGAAAATATTTTGCTATTTTAGTATTCCTCTCTATATTTTCTAACATACCGTAATTATATGAAGAAAATTTGAAACAATTAAGTAGGAAGTCGATACGTTCTTCAAAATAACTTCCAATTATGATTAATTGGAAAATATTCTGAAGAACATCTTGAATAAATTTAAAATTTAAAACAAAATCCAAATTACTATTAAAGCTTATAATAATTGTAACTGGAATAGTAAATTTACTTATATAATAATTATCAAATTGATTTGTTAATCACAATCAATATAATATTTATAAATAATTATATACGATTTAATTTTGAGTGACAGAATTCTACATTATATGAATGTTAAATTATTTATAATATAATTATTAAATATTCTAAAATAATACACTAATTTTGTATTTTTAACAATTTCAATGTATAAAATTTTACATTTTTCAAATTAAATCAATTTATCCTATAAAATAATTAATTTTACATTATAGTTTAAGAACTAAAACGAAATATTAAAAAAATAAAAATTATATAAAATATGATTTTATATAATTAAATTTAAGTTGAAAAAAATAACATTCATATAATTATAAATATATTGTTTAATTTAATTATTGTAATTTTTTAATTAAAATTAATATTATAATTTTATTAGAATATCTTTTCTTCAAAATAAAATATATTATGTAGTACAATATGAAATATTAGTAATTATATTTTATTTTTGAAGATTACTTAAGGTATTTAAAATGTATTCCAGATAATTTGGAAAATTTCACACTAAAAAAACAAAAAGAACAAATATATCATTTTATTTTTTATTTTATCGTTTTTTTTTTTTACCTTTATTTATTTATATTAATTTTAGAGAATTTTTTATACTCGTATGTATATTATGAAAGTGAACTTGTATAAGATTAATTAATTGAAAAATTAACCTATATTAATTATAGATTTAAGTATGTATGTTAAATTTTCAATTATAAAATAAATGAATTGTATAATAAAAAATAAAAAAAAATATATTTTAAATATAATATAAATTTAATTATTAAAATTTTATTATTACCATATTAACTATTATTTATATTTAAAATTTTGATAAAAATTTTATTGGAAAAAAATTTTGAAATAAAATTTTTTTAATATTAAATTTTTTGTTATGTCAATTTATTATATATATTAAATATTATAAGAGTATATACACTCATATATAAAACAAAAAATATTAAATTTTTGATTATAATGACATAATCTTAAAGAAAATAATTTAATAAAATAAAAAAAAAAAATATTAAAATTTATGAAAGTAAATTTAAGTTTTGTATAATTTAAATTTGTTTTGAATTTGATAGTAAGTAAATTTATATATATATAGTATATTTAATTATCATTTATATCATAATATACTACATATATTTATATTCCTTTATATAACAGTGTTTAGAATTTATTACCTCTTTTTAAGTATTTAGATAAAAATGTTATACAAATACATAATTATATAATTATTATAATATATCAATATAAGAGATAGTATATCTAGATATAAAAAACAAAAAAATTTATGAATTTATGTGATTATTATGTAAAATTATTCGAAATAGAATTGAATTTGAATAAAATAAAAATATTATTTAATTTTTTTTTTGTTTTTTTTTTTTTTTAATATTTTTATAATGAATTTTCTTCCTTTCTTGTTTTTTTTATATTTTGGTTGTTTCATTATTAAAATCTATTTGAATTTAACATAATATGTATACAATATTTACGTTGATATTTTACGTGTATAAAAGAAATTTAATGATTTTAAATATTTTAATTATTAATTTTTTTTTTTAAATATTTAAACGTAAATATAAGAATTTTATTATTAAGTTAAAATTTATAACATATAACAAATTGCCAATTTTAATAATTAAATTGTTGAAAAATTATTTAAGAAAAGAACGTATACAAGAACATACATCATGTATGTATACAACTTATGTTATATTGATACTAAATTAATATTGTAAAATTTTGTACTAACGGAGTTTATATTTTGAGAATCGAATCACCAATAGTGATAATTATCGTATAAAAAGGTTGATATTATTATTGTAAACACAAAACTAATTCACACAAATCTATTCTATCTATTATCAAGTTTTTGAAATGTTTGCAATAAATATCACTATCATTTAGTGATTCGATATTTAGAATAAGCCACAAGGCTTATTCTGAGGATTTTAAAACGATGAGCTTATTTTAAACCGATCTCGTATATCCATAAAAATCTTATTAGAATTTACTCACATGATTATGTTAATATTGGAATTTATTTCTTTGCAAAAAATTAGGAATTACTTATTTTACAAATGATGAGAATTTCAAAAACTCCTTTATATATTGTGTGTATAAATATTGAATATATCAAATATATTACCAATATATCAAATATAGTTGTACATAACTTGAAATATTGGAAAAACGAGTTATTTTTTTTTATAGTACATATAGGCGGAAATAAAACCTGTTTTAAGTCTTCTAGTCTATTAAGAATTTTTTAACTCATAAATTAGGTACCGCAAATATTTATACTTCCTTTAAAAATAATTTGCTATATAGGCTCACTTTTCTTACTACAGCATTTTTACTTAAATTTTTAAGATTTTTTTAATAAACTTTGATGAGCTTTGAGCTTCGATTTTATTATTGTAGCTTCATTTTTAACATTGTACTACTTTTCTCTTTAGCTCAATGCATTAAAATTTTTAGGTAGTGGCCATAGGTACATTATTAAATTCTGTTGAGATCTGTAAATGCCTCAAAACATTAATTTGCATTTAATCAAATGCAAATTAATGTTCCATAATGAATAATAATTTTTGAATATCGGCCATCCTGTACTATACACGTAGTTTTATACACATTTCTGAAATCTTCCCTAATTTGAGATTTTTATATAAGCATGTACCAGTTATAGCAATGTATAACAAAGACATTTTTATAATTCATTTAAATGTGTTCAGGTTTACTTTTAAAAATTAATATTTAAATATAAAATATTTAAAGAAAAATTTCTTCATTATTAAAATCTTCACTGACAAAATGATTTAATGAGTAATTTTAGTATATCTATGTTATATTAATGTTTATTCTATTATTAGGCAAGCTAGAAACAGTATATTAAATATATTATTAATAAAATAACGTTATATTATTGTTTAATATTTTTCCAGTTATTATTTTTTATGACCATTGAAAATTATCTTAATTTATAGATATTTAATAATGCATATATTTTGTATGTGTGTATGTGGTCTTTCATTTGTTTGGACATAACAATATAATTATTAAAAATATAAAATTCCCATAACGCATAATTTTTTTTTGAAAGTTTTAAGAGATGAACAAGTATTTTTATTTTGGAAGATTATAGCCATATAGTAACTAGTTTTATTGAATAGAATAAATTTTAAAATTTTTGTACAGGTTCACAATAAGCTGAATTTTAAATAGAATATGCTATAATAGACTTATGTCCTTTAGAACCAAGCTAATCATATGTTAAAACAAAATTACGTAAGAAAAATAAATGAATGTTCTAATGTTTATTTATGAAAAATTAATAATTTTTAGTTAATGGATAAATATAACGGGTTTTGTATTCTCGTTTTTCAGAATTGCTATAGGAAGTTCATATTGAAGACATACCTTTTTTTTTGGTTTTTTTCTTTCTTAGAAAAACACGGGACATACTTAATCGAATAAGGCATTTGCAGTACTGACTATTCGTATTATATGAATATCAGCTATCGTTAATTGAAAGATTTGTCACCTTACGACTGTTATATTAAAATTGATTAAGTTATTGTGATTTACAGCCCATTCAGAGTACAATAAACTCAAAATTTAAGATACGAGCGCAATCATATATATTATATTAACAGGCTTCAAAAAATTCTGATCATTAAAATATGAAAAATTTTAAAGTAGTTAGAATTGCGAAGAACCTTCGATAATATTTTGATTTGAATTCATCTCTTGATATAGAATGTTTTGTGGACGGACAGCTGACCAATGGAAATCCCTACATTACACTGCAGAACAGATATATAACGTAATCAAAGGAACGAGTAAAGGTAATCTCCTTCAACTGAACTCGAACTAGTGACCTAGCACTTTTCAGCCGGACATGATATTGCTACATGCAATCTTCTATTCGAAACTTGCAATTACAAGAACATATAAATAAGTATTGTGTATAAAATAAGGACAGACATATATATAAGGACATATATATAGAACATATAAATAAGGACAGACGGCTAAATTAAGAAAGAAAACATCATTTTAATTTGAAAGAAAGTTCTTTGTAATACAAAATCAGGATGTAGCAGCAAGATTTATTTTTCTTCTTATTTTGCATTCTAATTTTAGAATTTTTGCTTATATTAAAAATGCGTTTATTATTTTAATTTTGTTCTTTTTGTTTTTTTTTTAAGTTTTTTATTAATCAAATGTTTCCAATAACTTTTAATAAAAATGCCGACACATTATTGTGATGTAAATTTATTTGGCCAGAGCTTAAATAACTTGTTAGATTTTTTTTTTTAAAAATAGCGATGGATTGTTGTTATGTTTTTTGTGGTGATATTAAGAACGAATTCCTTCTTGTAATAATTCCAACAAAAAAATCAGTTCAAAATATTCAAAAAACAAAAAAAAAATTATGAAAAAAAAATTACATAAAAACTAGTTCTTTGTTTTCGTTTAATAATGACTTTTTAGTATTTACGTATTAAGAATTTCGCAAATTAAAAAATTTTTCTCATATAACAGTTAAAATGTTTTACACCCTTTGGGGTTAATATAGTAAAGTAAGGAGTGGGGAAATTGTAAAAATATTAAGTTTTTTATAGTATGAAGAGGCAAGAGCTTTAAAAATACGGAATATTAATTTTAATTGGATTAACTTGCCTTCCTATGAAAGTTTTTAGATTTACATCACGGTCTTTTTCAAATTAAGGAATTGAAGATAAACAATCGGACCTGTATAGGAGGTGTATGAATAAAAGCGACCTTTAAAATTTGGTATTAGTGATTCGTGGTCTCTTAAATTCTCAGATCATAATCTGCTATTGTTCATCCTTTTATTTTTATCGTTTTATCGTTTGAAAGTGCATTGCTAGTTTCATTTTATTGAAAAAACAAAATTAGATTGAGGAGACCAATTATTATGTTCGGTGTCGAAAAATTATTCTAGTAATGAAACAAATGTCTCTGTGTTTTGAACTGTGTTTTGAACCACATACATAGTACCTTATTAAATCATGAAAGACTCCATCGATTCAAAAACACATGCACATTTTCGGCAAATTTCTAAAAACTACTGCCAATTTTTAATTCACTCATTTTTTCCATAAAAATTGTTACTTATTATTTTTTTTTCTATTTTATTATTGAATTTTATTTTTATTTATTAAATTTTGATTTTGAGTAAAATATTTTATAAAAGTAGAAATATGTAGGTGAAATTTCCAAAAAAAGAGAAAACATCGAAACTATGTTTTTAAATCAGAGAATAATATGCAAAAAAATATGTTTTGTTCGCCTAAATATATGCAATTTTTTAAAAATTAAAATGATAGTTGAAACTGAAAGAATGAAAGTGATGAAATTTTGAATTTAAAATTCTTTAATTGTCCACAAAATTTCTATGTGTTCAAATATTGTGCTTGAGTTGGTTATATTTATTAAGATATTTTCCAATTATTTCAGGAACAACAATTTTAGGTGTTAAATAAAATTCATTTTTATCACGATCAAATACAACATCAACATCCAAATTTTCTGCTATTAAAGTTTTTGCTTCAATTTGCCTTTTTAAAGTATAAACTGTACTTGAATTAAATTCATTACCAAATATATTTAAAATTTTTAAGGGAATTGTTTTTTTCACTACCGATAGTAATAAATGCATTCCAATTGCATCAATTCCATTATATGATATATTTAAATATTTAATTTTTGTACTTGGTAAAGAAAATGCAATTATTTCTCCACCATTTCTTCCAATAGAATTATGACTAATATCTAATCCGATCAGAGTATTTGATAATACAATAGCTTTGAAAAGAATTTCAATACCATCTTGTGTTAAAGAATTTGATCCTAAATCTAAATATAATAAAATAGAATTTTGTTTTTCAATATATTCAGCAATTGATTTTATATCATATGAATTTAATTGAAGATTTCTAAGATGTAATTCAATTAATTGATTTTTCCATATTAATTGTGATATAATTAAAGCAATTCTTTCAGTATCTATTGTATCACACACATTATTTAATATTAAACGATTCATATTGAATGCTTTAAGGGATTTTGAATTATATACACCATCAGCAATAATATAAAAATTATTTTCATTTAAATTACAATTTCCAATATCTAAAAACTCAATAAATTCATTATGAATTAAATAATTTCTTAATAAATGAGCTACAGTTTGTGTAATTGGAGTTCCATTTAATCTTAAAATTTTTATTGTTATATTTTTTGGTTCATTATTGAAGAGTATTTCGAAAAACTCCAATAGCATTTCTAAATTTAATAACTCTACAGCAGTTTGAGTTTTTAAGAATTTTGCAAATCGTTCATGTAATTTAATTGGATAATCTTTAGGAATTTCGAAGCCTTGAAATCGAAATTTCTTTATTGTATTGGAATTTTCTTCTAAATAATTAATAATTTTTCTGTAATCATCTAAATTAAATTTTCGTTTGAGTTTTTCTTCAAAAAATCTTCTCGATAAATATAAATGGTTATATGGACGTCTGAAATTATCACGTTGCCAACATTGTAATATTAGAGGCGTTAAGATTTTATTGGACTTCTTATGTTCCTCACACTGACATGGATTATATGGTAACATCATTGTTTGATATTTGATTTAAAAAATATTAAAAAATAAAAAACAAAAGTTTGACAATAAATTTGAAATTGACATGGTTTAAATATTTTATAGGATTGTATTTTGAAAATATTTGATAATTTGAAATAAAATGGAGAGAATTAATTAATTTTAAATTTCGTTGCTACTCTGAATGTCCTTCTGAATATAATGTACCTGTTATGTAGGGCCTGTTACATACAATCGTATATTTCCCTTTTTTCCTTTCAAAAATGAAAAATATAAGCCAAAAAAGTCATTTCTTGCGTGTAAAAACAACGCCGTTTGATGTGCATTTCTCAATTGCCTCCAACTATGCGTTTGGTGTTATAGCGATTGAAGTCTGCCTGAAACCTGATTACATTAACTACCCTCGATTCAAATTATATTTCATATACACACATAGGTACATATTTCATGTTATCCTTACCGTAATTATTGAATTCTGATTCAATTCCTTCCCTTTAAAGTCCTAATGGTTGAACAGAAATCCGTGAAACTGTAATAAATCAAACAATAATTTGTTTTACATCATTTTTAAAAATTTTTTTTTTATTTTAAATAGTTTACATATTTTTGTTTTGGTTTTTCATAATTTTTTACTTTTTTATTATTTTTACGCTATGCATACAATGATTACATTAAGATTTTTGGTTTTGTTTTTTATAATCATTAATCATATTATTTTGTGTAGGTATCATTATAATGTAGGTATGTATGTATGCATGAATATTCTGTTATTTATAATAAATTTACTCAACATTATACCATTATAGATTACAAACATACATACATACATATGTAATTTTAGGAATGTGTAATAATGATTGAATTTATTTGGTAAGTATGTGTATAACAATATTTATTTATAATGTCAGATTATTTGAAATTTCGGACAGAGTGAAGAATAAAAAAAAAATTCCGGAGAAACATCAAAACGTAGATTTATTACAAAATTCCGTTATTTCGAATTCGAAATTGTATTGCTGAATTGGAATTCGAAATTGTATTGCTGAATTTAATGCAAATTTCTGTTATTCCGAATTCGAAATTTTGTATTAAATCTATGCGATTTTAAATTTAATGTTAAAAATTACATAGAAAAGATATTCGACTATTAATACAATTTCAAATTAAATGTTGTGATTCGAATGTTGATTCGAACTCCGAAAATTCATACACCTCTTTGATGAAGGTAGTACGCGATCGATTTTATAATAATGTTCCAGAAATATAGTACGAAATTTTGTATAATTTAAATAACATTGTTTTTTTTAAATAAATCCAACTCGAAATTGTATAAAAAAAAATAGGAGACTTAAAAGAGTTACCAATAGGCAATAAAGCCGTAGTTTTTGAACTTAATTTAGGTCAATTATTTATTAAAATTTCAAATAATTTTCAGACAGAAATAAGTACAGTTGTTTGGATTCTATTAATACGTAATATATGTATTCATATAAACATACAAATATTGTAGTATATAGCAAAACGTCTGTGTGTTTGTGTAAATAATTATCTTTTTTGTTTTTCAAATTCAGGTTCTAGTTTTCAATTGATAATTAATAATATAGTGAATTTCATATTGCAGTAACACAGTTTTTAAATTCTCAATTCAATTCAGCTTAGACATAAATTGCTGAACTCGCCCTTAAATACATATATAACGTAGAGTTGAATGCAATTAGCTATTTAATACGTTTATGAATGTGGTTCACCACATCGCTGCAATATGGAAATTTCGGATGTTAATGTAAATTTTTTTTGTCTGTTCAAATTTATTTAAAATATTTTTCGTCTTTTGTTTTTGGATTTTTCCAGCTATAAATATAAATATTTTTTTTTTCTTAATTTAATTATGTAATTTATTTTTTATGTAATTTGGTTTATTTTACAAGAATATAAATAATTTCTTTTTTATATACTATAAAATATACAATATGTGTTTTTGTTTTATTTTTATAAATATAACAACCATAAAATGAAAATATTTATTTGATTATCGATGTACTCTGTAATTTGTTCTATAATATTTTTATTTTTTTTTTAATATCAAGGTAATCATTTAGTTGCATTAAAGTTGTTTTGTCAGTGATTTAATCAGTTATTGTTGTTTATATTACGTAAGTATATTTCTTTAAAAATATAATTTAAAAATTCATATATACATAAATATAATATAATATAGGCTGCTCTATAGTATTTTTATATAAATATATTTAAATACACATAATGTATATTATATTTTTCTCAAAAATAATATGCGTTATAAAAATAAATTTGTTTTTAATTTCTGATTTTTTAAAATATGGGCGTCTACCAAAATGCAGATATAACGTCAACTTGACTTATTCAGAAATACTGTTTTAATAACTGAATATTTGACTCCAAATTTGCATTTTGGAAGACTCCATAATATGCTATAGGTATACAAATGTATAATATTTAAAATGTTAAACACAATAATTTTTTAAATTTATTTTTTATAAATTTAATTTCATTATCAAATTAAATTTATAATACCGCACTGCACAGATAATTTAGATTATTTTTTATATTCATTTAATTTATATTAAATTATACAATACAAAAATAATATATGTTTATTTGTTGAGATTGACTCAATAACATTCAATAATCAATTGTCACAATCATGTAGCAGCAATCATAATCATTCATTGAGATTTTCCGAAAAAAATTTTTGGGGCTGCAGAATATATCAGTAATATACGCGAAGTTTGAAATTTTTAAATGCTGCAGTCGAAATTGAGATCGAACTGCAATTTCAGAAACTTTTATTTTATTTTCCGTTAAACTACGTACTGAGAAAAAGTGCAGTCGAAATTTGAGTCAAAGCTTCAATAATTTTTGAATTAGCTTGCAGATGTGCAGACTAATTCAAAAACATTAGTAATGAGCAGATATGCAGCTCTGCGATAAAATGTAGATAATAAATAACTCAATTCCAGTTTCAAGAGTGTGACTCTTAATAAAACAAATTAAATTTATATATTTTTTACAAATTTCGTTTTTCCCGTTTTGAGCAATAATAATACATTTATTTTACATAATAATTGTATTGATTTAAAAAAAACATAAAGGATTTTATTTTCTTTTAAATATTTAATATTTTTTTTGTTAAATTTTTTTCATCAGAATTATATATGTATATATATATATTAAATAAGCATAAGATTTTATTAATATATAGGTTGATTTGTTTTGCTTGTATGTTATATTAATTTTGTTTTATTTTTATTACAGGTTAAAATCTAAAAATTCAATGAACATTTAGCATACAAACGTAGATATGTAGAGCGTAGATATATAGTATACATTTATCTATTTATTATATTAAATGCTATATTTTAAAAGACTATACAGGTAGGTAATAATATAATTATATAAAATTCATTTTGCACATTTAAAAAATATAGTTGTAGTTGTAGTTGTAGTTCTCATAATTTTTCATATATTTAGTGATTAGCTTTCGTTTCTTTAGTGCCTATTATAGTGTTATTTATTACTGTTTTGGTAATAAATTTTTTTTTTATATATTTTCACTATTTTGTATTTTATATAAGTAATTAAATTTTATATTTTAATAAAATTAGATTTCATAATATAGATTTTTAAAATAATATCATTTTTGATTGGTACCATAGTTTCTTATATATAGATAGATATAGTATAATATGTTCTTTTTGTTTTATTTTTAATTAATAATAAATATTTTTACATAGAATAAAATTCTTTATAAAATATAAATTCATAGAAATTTTATATTGTATAAATAATATGTTTACTATGTAATTTGTAAGCTCTCTCTTGTATGCAATGATAATTATTTAATAATGTTTATTATGTTTTAATTTGTTTTGATTTCTAAGTTTATTAATAGGTATGTAGTAGTTGAATGTTGTGGTTGTAGCTGTCGTTTAGTTGTAGTTATATGTTTATAATGTTTTATTTCGTTTTTACAGAGACATTAAATTTGTATTATTGAAAGAAATCAAATATAGAAATGCAAATAAAATGTAAATTAAGATTGCAAAATTTTCATAACTTCCAAATTTTGATAACTGCAAAAAAAAAAAACATTACTTATCGTTTGAGTTAGTAAATTGATTCGGAAATAATGGAACTGAAACCGCAAGCTACAACTACAAAACTTGTTTATTTTTTATTTTTGAAGTTGATGCTTGTCATATTTTATTAATTTTGGTAGAATCATTTAACATACGTATTATTAAAATTTTTTAAAAAGGAAGAAGTAAAAACGTCTTAGTTAGTCTAAACTGAATGAATTATAACCCGAACTTTGACCAGTAAGGTATGTAAATCTAATTTTATTACTTTTCCGAATATGCTTTCGTAATTGGACACACGATTATAAAGTTTTATAATAATATCTCTACTAGGTTTATAATATATAATAATGATCTCTTCGTGTTGAACGGTAACTATTCGAACTCGTTGTCGGAATTTGGTTTAATTACAATAGCAGCCGCTTATTATTGATTATTATTGTGCGCCCATATATTGTGCTTTATTGAAGCTCATATTTTTTGCAGTTTAAAATTATTTGCAGTTATTAAAATTTTTGTAGTTATAAAATTTTTGCAGTTCTGTAGTAGAAAATATGCAATTCTAAAGAACGTATGTTTTTGAGGCAATTTTTAGAATTCAAAAAGAATTAATCATTATTTTAAAAGAAAACACAGTGTCTCGGTCAATTTTCATTTGTTTTTACTTTAAAAGAAAAATTCTTGTATAATAAATATAAGCATGTAAATTTTATTTATTATGAATTTCTTAATAATATCGTTGTCATAATAAAAATGTGTTACTAGAACCAAATATTTAAAGCATATTTATAGGCTCTTGAATTTATTTTAATTAAAAATATTGAAATTGAAATTTTCTGTATACGAATTTTTTCTGATAATTTTTTTTTTTGTTTTCCTCTATAGTATATAAAAATATATAATTTGTCTTTATGTATCTATGTATGCCTGTAATCATATCTATATAATGTATGTATATATATGTGTTGAATGCGCACCTATAATAAGTGCATTTTATACAATAAGTTTGTATTTTTTTCCCTAAAAAATTGAATTTTATTTTTAAAATTTTTTTCTCTTTGTTTCTTGTTTATTGAGTTTTGGTTTGATTTTTTTTTTCTCAAATTTTTGTTTTCATTAAGTACACAATAAATTTTTTTTTTTTTTTTTTTGGTTTTTTTTTATTAAATATAATTTTTTGTTATATAATTAAGGTATTTTAAGGTACACCGAGTTTTTAAATATTTTTTTATTTTTGTTTGAATGCAAATGCAGTGTTGAACAACTTTTATTTGATCGTTTTTTGTATTTTATTTTTTTTTTTTTAAATGAAAACTAATTATTAATTTATTATTTTTTTTTTTAATTTTATTAAATTTTAAATGGTGTTTTTTTAATGATGATGGATTTTTAATTATATATTTTTACATATAATATTTATATATGTACGTTTATAGATTATTTTAATTGCCATTATGATTTTTTTTGTTTTGTTTTTCAATAATTTCAATAATAATTATGTATTTATATATTAATGTAATTTATTTATTTTGAACACCATTTCTACTATATATAATAATTATTATAGAAAATATATTTTGAAGCTGCTATATGCTGCATATGTGGCTTTTTATTTTACATTTTTTATAATGCTGATTTTAATTTATATTTAATTAGGTACATATTTTATATATATAAATGTATATATATATATATATATAAATGTATTTTGCTTTATAATTTTTAATAATGATAATTTTATGGTAATAATTTATGTATTTAATTTGAATTCATTTTGTATTATTGAAATAATTTTATTTTGGTTTTATTTAATAAAAATTATAATTAATTATTTTTCGTAATTTTCTAATTATAATGAAAAAGAATAAATGTTTAGAGTTACTTAATCTTCTGTTCGAATTTCAAGTTTTTCTTTAAACATTTTAAATGTAATTTTTACCATTTTCTTAAAATGTTTATTTGGCACTAATTTTATTATTTTTATTATTAATTATTTCTTAATAAAAATTTATCATTTATAAATTAAATAAATAAAATATGTAAATAATGTTCATCTAGAATACTGATTTGAAATTGAAAAGCGTATTCAACAAAAAACTACGAATTTTCAATGAAATTTCAGTAAATTTTTCTCCCAATATCAATTATTTTTTCTCAGTGTTGAATTGAGTACTTAAAGAAATGACGTTGTTGTAATCTAAAATTACTTTGTGTTCGAAATTTATTGAATTATATTAATCATTTAATAATTTTTGTCCGAAATCCGATTTGTCCGAAAGTTGATTTTGTCAGAAAATTTACCCTAAATTGAGTGTCGAATTCTCAAAAAACGTCTCTAATTAGGAAGATTAGGAAGAAATTGCGGTTAAAAGATTCTTGTTTTTCTATTTGAAATCGAATTTTTTGTCTTTGTTGTAAGATTTGTAGAGCAATTATTATTCAATCAGTATATACAGAAGAAGTGCTGTGCATTGAGTGAAAATGAAATTTTAAAAATAAATAAATGAATGAAAAATAATAATGATAGTTTTAGTATTAAAATACAGAATTATTAAGTCTTTTAATTTGCAAGTTTTGATATTTTTTTGAAATGTCAACTATTTGAACAAATAATTAATTTTATTAAAAATTTATTCCAAAGATAAAGTATTTAGCTTAAGTAGATTAAAGAAAGTAATCTATACACTGTAAAAAAATTTTTTTTTCTATTTCAAAATAAAGTTAATGAAATTGATTATAGGTGATTAATTTTTATAAATTGTTAAGGTAAAATAAGGTTGTAAATTACGAAAATTGCAATTAATTTCCCAATTGTGAGCAATATTTGGAATATATTTCTAAAAATATCTGCTTGGCTTGCTGTGTATTTTGTAATTTTGGAAAATATTTTAGTACACAAGCCAATTTTCATCTTCTATTTAACTGCATTTTAAAAAAAATCAAAAATTTTCATAAAAATCTTCTTAAAACTTTTCAAATTGAATTAAGACTCTAGCTGTAATTAATTTTCTTCCTAAATAATTCGTTAAGTAATTTTTAAAAAAAAATTTTATAAAAAGAAAGTTTTAATTGAATTTCTTTTTATTCTTTGGGTTCTATATAAAAGCTATTTAAACGGAATTTAATTCGCAGAGAGTATAGAGAGCGTGGATGTGATTTTAAAATGAAATTATTTTTACAAACAGTCCTACTCATATTACAGACTCTTGGTACTAAAGGATAATTTTAGTCGGTTTTTTTAAAAATAAAATTTTGAATCCGTAAATTTCTGAAATTATTTCGGTATTTTTAGGTTAACGAATTGAATTTTTCAATTATTTTGGATTTTATTTGGAGTTTATTAACATCAAAGGATATCAGTGCACTACCTTTTAAATGAACATGATTTCTCCATATAACAGAATTTAATTTTCGACATTTTCTTTGACAATAATTATCTTGTAAACAATAAAAAGCAGTTCAAAGTATTCCTTTGAGGGGCTATATTTTTTAGGCCCATAACATGAGAAACGTAAATTTCATACACACTTATTTACAATCACCAATTTTATTCCAGTGTTGAAAACAATTTCTTGTTGTTTTCCAATTACATTTTTGTAAATAAAGGATAATGCATAAAATTATTATAATCACCTATGTATTTCTTAGATCTTTATATGCTTGTGTAAACTAAACAAATTAGAAAATATTTCAAAATATTCTCAAGGAAGCTTGTGAATTTTATTAAAAAGAGAAATAATTGAAGTGAAATTTTCTTAATTTCTCTGTTTTTTGTTTTTTGGTTTGTTTCTAAGATATTTAAAGCATTCACCCTAAATTACAATTTTATATAATATTATGTAATGTGTGTTTTAATTTATATATAAAATATAAAATAATGTAAAATTTTCATTCTAAAAATAATATTAATAAATTATATATATATATTACATACTCATTTATGTATATGTATGTATGTGTGTATAGGTACACAAGTTATATTGTATACTAAGTAGATTAAAATAAAATCTTAAATTCAAAGAAAAAATATTCTTCATTAAAATATACAGGCACACATACGAATGTAGATTTGAACCACATTTAGTACGGTGTGTGACTTAAAATTATATACATATATAATATACATACATATAATATTGAATATTTTTTTAATTTGGACGCATTGTTGTTGTTGTTGTTAATAATAATGATATGTTTTTTGAATTCCATGTTTCTTCATCTTGTTTACAATAATCCATAACAATATCACCACGACAATCACCTAATAATCCTGGTATTAGAACAGCAGCACCTGCTACTGTTACAATTCCACCAAATATAACTAAACCTAATGCTGGCATTTTTTCTCTACTTTTAAGTGGATGCGGTCCCAATTGTATATAAGCTAATCCTGGTAAAATATATGCTAATGGAATGGCGGCCAAAAGTCCCTATGGGAATATTTAGTAAAAAACAGAAAAACAAAGAAAAAATTCTTGTTAATAATTTACACAAGTAAAAATGAGTAAAAATAACAAAAACAAAAAAAAATAGTCAAGAAAAATATAAAATGAAATTTACGTTTTTTTTGTTTTTTGGAGACAAAAACCAAAGAGAAAAGCACTATAGGAAAAAGAACAAAAAACTTGGAAATGGAAAATTAAATGCCATTATATTTTTACTGTTATACGTGCGTATATATTAAGACTTCTGAATACAAAAAGCAGCAAAAAAAAAAATTGTACGTGGAATTGGTTTACAAAAATTTCTTGAGAAATTTTTTTTTTACGGAATTTTCCCAAAAAGTCAATTATTTATAAAAAGGTAAATGTGATCTTTTTAATAATATTAAATGTTATAAAAGAGACAACCTTGACCTATATAAAAAATTTCACTGTTATACTTTTATATAATAAAAGGAAGAACAAAATACTTTTAGTTTTACCACATTAATAATGAATCTTTTGAGAGTTCAGACACATGTTCCTTTATATTCCACCTATATATTATTCCTTAAGAGTTTTATAAGAAGTATACAGGGATGAGTTGAGAATAAGTAGCAGGGATGATACGAATGTTGCTTTTATAGGATTTCTCCTGAACTTAAAAATTATTTTTTTTAAATTAGAACGAAAAACCTTATTAGAAATTTTAAATTGGAGACTTTTGTATATTCTTTTGCACAACTAAATATTTTTAAAGATTTGGCGATAAATTCAGAGAATCTTAACTTTGCACCATGAGCAAGAGCTCGTCGCTCTCTTTAGAAATACTCTTTAAGCGCAATAAAATGTTTGAGTTCCATTAAGAATTAAAATCGCTTTTCTAAAACAACATTTAGATGGAGAGAGAGAGTGATAATGAGAGAGAGATTGGTAATGGACGAATTTCTTCTTACGCGGTAAAAAATATTAATTTTTGAATAAAATTTATATAAAAATCTCAATATTTTCATAATTAAGAAAATTGTTCTATAAAAGAATATTGCGAGTAAAAATGTTTCCTTTATACCAAACCGGTTTTTTTTTTTTTTAAATTCCCACATACCTACCATACATAAATATTAATCAAAAATTTTTTCGTTTCATCTTTTGTCAACAAATTCTCAACAACTCTGCTTATTCTCTCGGGGGAGTAGCTATCAATTTTAAAAGAAAACTTTGAAGTATAAAATATGAAAAAAATCTCCTGTGGGAAAAAAATTTTTAAGTCACCTCGCATTTTACTCTCTTTTTGTTTTAAAATATTAAAATTTTTACCAACAAGAGAAAAAAAAGAAAAACAGAGAAAAAATTCTAAACGTGTAGACAGAGAGAAGAAAAGTTTTTGTTCGTGATTGCCTCTTTAAAAAAGTTTATGTAATCAAATTTCATTCTGAGCGCATAAGATTTACAGCAGAAGAAGAAAACGTTTATGTTTTATTATACCGAAATATTTTAATTTTTATATTTATATTTTTTTTGGCGATAAATATGGAAATGACAATAATAAATTTAGAATTATTTAGGCTTTTTATCGGTTTTACCGATTTTGGTTGTGATCAGTCAATGTCTTTTTTTGTCTTTGCTCATTTTGAAATAAAGAATATTTGACAGATTAAATATCAGTTCGAGTAAAGTAGAAAATCATTATTTTGTAAGGCTATGCGATCCAACTGTGTCCTATACCTGGGCATGTACAATTATTGTGTATTAGCCCAATAAGTTGTCGATTCGTATATATCACCGTGTCTGCTCCCAACTTCTTAAATATTTAGGAAATACTAAATGGTAATGATTATTGTAATTCCTCACAAATTCTACTTCCGTCAAAAAATTGATTTTGGTAAAATTACTCTGGCAAAATTCTAATGCACGTGCGCTTTATGCGTCGAATTGCACGTAGACACGTTAACAGTTATATTATTATAAACTTAGAGAATTCCGATAGAAAATATTCCGAAATCCTCCTTTTGATAACACTAAAATAATTAGAAAAGGCTGCCCTTCCTGATTCATTTATATCTAATATAATTTTATCTCATATGGCAGCTTTTTTTAAATTCAGATTCAACAAATAATTCAAAATAAATTATTCGATGATCCAATTTGTTGAACTATGTATGAAACTTTTGAGTTCTCACAATAACTTTCTTAATTTTTAATATGTTTCTCGAAATTTATTGAAGAACGTGTTAGAATAGAAAAGATATGAAAATTCAAATATAATATTTCACTATCTTAATAATATTTGCAACATACTTTCTTTATATAACTATATCATTACTGTTTTCACAATGCAATCATATTTAATAATATCAAAAGAATCTTATAGTCTCATATATATTTTACAATATCAATTCTTTGAAGTGTTTCACTATAAACGAACAATATCTCACAAATATAAAATTTAAGACTTAGAACTTGAAATATTAAAGAAATAAAAAAAAATTTAATCTTATTTTCATCTTTAATGATTGAAATTTTGTTCTATATATAAGATTCATTGCAAGTGCAAAACGTATAAAAGATTTATACTATTGTAGATTTTGTAAGGAACGTGATATTTACGCGCCCTATGTGTTACAATAAAGTAGATATAGAGAGCAAAGAAGATATGAAAATATTTTGAAAGAAGATTTAACATGAATATAGGTACAAGCATATAGAAGAGGAATAAACCGAAAGAACAGAAAAAATTTAGAACAAGAAGGTATAAAGCAAGACAAAATAATCAAAAAAAATTATGGTATTCCTGACAGTTTTTATTGTATTCAAACAAGGCAAGTATCTTGCTCTTGTATTTTGAATTATTACCAGAGAAAAATAAAACGAAAAGAGAATGCTGAGAATAGGTGATAATTCCGGTAAATTTAAGGAATTTTCACATAGATGATAACTCTGAGAGTACGAAGCGTAAGTTACTTTAGAATTTTAAAATAACAAAACCTAACAATAAAATATTAACGGAGTGGCAGCAATTCTATTTAATATCACAATTTCGTTGTATAACAGCTACGCCAAAATTGCTATAATTGGACTTTTTTTAGTTCGATATTTACGGCAACACGTTTTTTCGTTTTTAAAACCTAACCATACTCTTGATTTTTAAGTAACATTACATTCATGGTCAGTTGGCTATACTTTAAACCGAAACAAGTTAAGTTAATTAAAAATTTAAATTTCCAACAAGGTCATGCCGTAACTAACAATTATAACATGTTAAAAAGTTAATAGGTCTCATTTCGAGATATTACTATATAGCGAGCACAGTACTTAAGATTTTTGGATATTTTGGGCAGTTATCGGGTTGCAACGTTTCGAATATGGCTTTTCATAATCTAACCTAATTGTGCTATAAATTTGTTCAAGCTGTTCAATATTTAAGTTGTAAGCTGTAAAAGATGTCCGACATTATAACACACTATTTAAATCAAGATTGTACTATCAAAAAAAAAAATATATTAATGATATAAAAACGAAAACGGAACAAAAAAATTTCAAGGTCCTTTTACAAAAAATTATTTTTACTGCTCTCTTATTTTTCTTTTTTTGTTATGCTCTTACTTCTATAATGTTATTGCAGAACGCTTGTGTGAATTTCAAAAGAAAGACGATGAAGTCTTTTTTTTTCTCATTTTATTTATGAATGTTTGTATTGTTGTACATATACGCAGTCAGGCAGATAGAAACGAACTGTTGAAAATATGAAAAATAACACTGTTGCATTTGAAATGAACAATGAAAAAAAAAAAGAAAGAAGAAGAAGCAAAATAATAAGAACAATAAAGTAAAAGGAGCAAAAAACAATGAAAATAAAAATTTCCCTTTTTTTCTTCTATCCTTCATAAAGGATCAACATTTTTATCGTTTATTATCTTTTATTTTTTTTTCTTGTATAGTTGCCTTTTATTTGTTTTTTCCTTTTTGTGTATTTTTTTTTTTGCTCATTTCATTCACAAGATTTATGCTTTTATTATGATGGCGGTTTTTATTTATTTATTATATTTTATTCTTTTGTGTTATTCTTACGAGTAAAATTTTCAGTATCTTATAAAATTGTTTATACATTTGTAACGCCCAATATTAAATGGCGAATTTGTTATATGGGTAATAAATAAATGTAAACCCGTGTCGCAATTCTTATTTTTAAGTTTAATGTTTGTATAAGTTGAGGCGATATTGAAATTGCAGGAATTCTAAATTTTTACATAATTCAGCTTATAAGATATAACTGCTGAATTATGCAGTAAAATAAAGCATTTTTACACAATTCAGCTCATAAAATACAGTTTCTGAATTGTGCAGTAAAATAAAGCATTTTTACACAATTCAGCTCATAAAATACAGTTTCTGAATTGTGCAGTAAAATAAAACATTTTTACACAATTCAGCTTATAAGTTATAATTGCTGAATTGTACAGTTATTATTAATAAAATTAATGTAATTCAGATATTTAAATTTATTTAATTCGAGGTTATCTCGTTACTTCGGAATCACTCTATAAAGAATTACTTATTGTAATGTTAATGCCCACATTTACGCTATTTACTCGTCAATGTCAATTTAATTCATCATTGCCAAACAATTGAATTTCAAATTACATGCTACAACTAATAACTGCGGGCAATAACATTAAAATATTAAGTAATTTAATAATAAGATGTTAGAAAATATTTTTTCTTCGAATTAATTTCTTTATAATTTTTAAGTTATTAAGCCACCTTTCGGAAAAATATGACAATTTATAACAGTAAAAATCGTAATATTCATAAAAAATATATTAAAATTTAAATAATTAAATGTCACATCACACTATACCAGAACTAAAATTATTATTGTCAATTTAATGAGATTAAGGGCAATTTAATAAAATTTTAGAGCGTTTAAAAATTCGGCATTTTTATCTTAAATATCCCGAAGTTGTTTAATTAAAATTTTTTTGCCGACATTTTTATTGATTGTCTTTGTAAAAGAATTAAAACAACAAAAAAAAAAATAAAAAGAAAAACAGAAAATGAAAAATATTTTTACAGAAAAATTTTTACAGTTGCAAAAATAAAAAAAACATTTTTGTTTATTCAAGAATTAAAAAAAAATGTGTCAGATTGTGAAGGTATTTGTGTGTGTGTGTGTGGCTTTATGTATTTTAATTCTTTATTAAAATAATTAGTGAAAAAATTTTTCCAGAATTTTTTTTTTTTTGGAGTTGAGTGTGAATAAATTAACAATAAATTTTAATTAAGTTTAAAAAAGTTTTTTTTTTTTTTTGCCTTTTGCCTTTTTTATGACGTTAGCGAAATTTGATTTTTTTTTTTCGTTTTGGGGTCCTTTTTCGAATTACTTTTGTTTTATTTTTTGCTTTTTACAACTGCAGTTTGAATATTTGATTTTTGTTGTAAATCGCAAAGTACAAAAATTTTTAATGAATTCAAATGGTTTTGAAGAGGAGAAGAACTTTATATTGTCTATTATGAATAACTGGGAAAAGATGAATAACTGAGGTCTGAATAGATTTAAGGAATAGATGAAAAGCATTTCTAACAATAATGTAGTTTAAATTTGGTTATAATGAGCAGAGTTTTATGCTTAATTTAAGGAAATCAAATCATATTATCATCATATAATCATATTAGGTCGATTAAAGCAAATCGCTAGCTAAATCTGTAGTTCTGTTTTCATATATGAGCATAATTTTAATGAATCTATTAGGTATTTTATTTAGTCGAAGATCTAATTTTGTACAAGCGATTTAATTAAGAAATTTCAATAAAAAGGCTACTTATTAGATGATATTGGATTGCTCGAATGTTGTGGCAATTAAAAATCAATTTAGAGTTTTAGAATCATAAAATTGGTCATTATAATTATTTCCAAGGAATTAGATTACTGCCACGTTCAGGTATAAAAAATAACTACATAATTAAATACTACAAATATTAATAAAACAAAAACTATGATAATTTTTATGAAATTCCATCAAGTTTGTTAAAAAAACTCGCTATTACCTAAAAATGTTAAATGGTGCACGTAAGTATATGCAATTTTTTTACATTACAAAATAAAGGTGATATGGTCGTTTTCAATTGAATTCAAATTTGATTTTTAATTTAATTTTAATGAAATTACAATAAAAAATTTAATTATACTTACATTTAATTCTAAAACTGGTCCCAAACATTCAGTTAATGGTGATAATATAAATGCAGTAAATACAATTGCCAATGTTATTGATCTTGCATATTCATCTTTTTCTCCAATACCTTTTTCTGCACTTGGATCCTTATCAACTTGACTAAATTCAATATCTTCTTTAAGTATGAATTTATGAACAATTGTTTTAACAATCTATAGTAAAATTTTAAAAAGGAAAATATTTTTATTAATTAGAAAGTTGATTATAGAAAATATGTATTAAAAAACAAACATAGCTATATTTCATTATTTTAAATAGAAATGAAGCTGTCGAACTGATAACAGATAAGAATTTTGTTCTTCCTTTAAAGAACTGAATTAAGTTAAGGAAGATCCAAAATATTAACCATGGCATTTGTTATCAGGCACTTATTTTACCAAAACTACTTGAATATTGTATAAAATTATCAAAATTTAAAAGTTAAGATCTGCATCCTTAAGGCTATTTACAAAATTTATAGTTTTTGGAATAAAGAAAAAAAAAATTTATAATTCACAAAGAAGATGACAGTAAAAGTTTTGCGTCATTTTAAAAACATTTTAACATTTTTCATTGAAAGAAAATTTCAAGGAACATCAAAATTTTTTATGAAAAGATAAACTAGATAAAATAGAAAGAAAATTTATAATTTCCTCAAAAAAAAAAAAAATCCTTGAAACTTTCATCTTCTTGTAATTTTTTCTTTTATTTCCGTGCCACGTCATCTTCATCTTACTTTAAAATAACCAAAAACAAAAAACAATTTAAATGCCTCGGTCTATGTAGAATTTAGGGATAAAAATAAAGATAAGGGAGAAAGGCTATTGTTTTGCTTATTTTAAAGATTTTTTCCTTTATTTTAATCCTTTTTTAGAATCTTCTTTAGTGTTAATTTTGTTACATAAATCCATATGTGTCCTGTTTAGTTTTAATTAATTGAAATTAGGGTTTACGAAATTTTTCCCTAAATTTAATGGCGAAATGTTGATTTTTAAAAAATAATAATTAAAAAAAATTTGTTCTCTTTTAAATGGAAAGGTTCTCTCTCATTGTTAAAATACTATAAAATTTTTTAATATTAAAATTAAATACCTTTGCTTTAGGTACCATTGCGTGTCATAGTTAATTAAACCGATTTTTGTGAGTTAATTTAGCAACATGTATGAGTACAAAAAGGGAAATTTACCCGAAAAAATCCTTCTATATTAATATTTCATATAATTCGTATATAAGAGAGCCAAATTTCCCTCATAATATTTTGTCATTCACTTGTCTTCAATTTTGTCATTCGGACTATTTCTAGGAGTAGAGAAGAGAGTAAACATTCTGCGGTAAAGAGAGTACTTTGATTCTGTGTCTAATATCTCATATAATAAAATGATGAGATTACTACCCCTCAAACCCTTTTAATATTGCTCAATGTTTTTTAAATTAAATGTTTCAAAAATAAAAGAGCTTCAAGTATTCAGGGCATATTATAAAATTAACAAATCAAATTTAATAAAGTTTACATAAAGTTTTATTAATTTTTAAATTAAAATTTTCCTTTTAATTTCAATTAAAAAATTTTTTAAAAAAAAAATTTAATATCCTTATCATCTTTAATAATATGTCGAATACATATATTAGTAATTAAGTATTTCTAGAAAAAGGATATAAACTTTTTCCTTTACACATCTTTTGTACATAGGTTATGAATACATACATATATAGCTATATAATTAACTTACCTCTCTTGATACAAAACATTCAATTGGAAATGTTAATAAAATTGATATTGAGAAGAGTATCCTTGAAAAATTCATTAAATCATCATTCCAACAATAATTTTCCAGTAGATCACCTTTAAAGAAAAAGAGTATATAATATGTGTATAATAAATAGAGAAGTTAAGCTTTAACTTATATTAATTAATTACTTATACAATATATATATATACATATATATAAAGTACATAGACTTATTATATAATTTTTGATATTAATGTAGAAAAATAAATAAAAAAATTTTTCTAATAAAAAATTCGAAATCAAAACAAAATGAAATTTATTTTATGAGATTTAATATTGTGAGTAATAGGGTAAAATCGTGGGTAATTGGGTAAAAAATTGTAATTGGGTAATTGAGTAATAGGGTAAACTTAATGAAATATATTTTATGAAATTGAATATCGTGAGTAATAGGATAACATGGTTTCATTGTTTTGATAAGCAACACAACTATGTCTTTGGTTGTAGTCTCTAAAGTTTTTGATGGCTGAAATAAGCAACCTGTAATCGAATGTTCGATCACGAGGTGTTGGTCATGGTTGGCGATAGCGAAACAGCAACAGTTAATACTATTTGGATTGCGGATTATTTATTGTACCTGCTATGTCATAAAATCGACGTCATTTCATCATTTACAATATTAATTAATATTTTCGAATGGCAAGTCCACTAATATAGAACGTTCAGATAGGAGAAAGCGCATTCTCTGCAAATGATTGTTTTTCATTAGAAAGAGAATGCGTATATTGGAAGAATTTTTCTTTGGTCATCTGGTGAAATAATTGAATGTTTCCTTGCCCAGGTTGTTGAAATCTATAAGAGAGATCGGCTGGTTAAAATAGTTGAGTAGGTTTTCAAAAGTAAAGTGAGTTTTCGGCAATTTTTCTTGAAGAAGAGTTTGCCAATCCTATGCTCCTTTTCGGACTAATGCTTGGTCTCTTGTAAAAACCATGCGACACGCCTTCGCTGACTAATAGTAATTCTACTATTGAAATCAGATAGTGGCAAGTAATAAATGAAGACAATAATTTGATAGATCAAGAGGGAAATTTGGCAGGATGATTTTTATTTTATTAAAGCATCATTTGTTCTTTTTTTCTCACGGCATTTTCATTTTATGTCGGTTTTAGATGACGCTATAATATCATAATTAATTTTTCTTCTTTAATTAATGAAATGTCTCTAAAAATGTCATGTAAAAAAGAGAGTAATTTGATAGTTTGCAGTATTACACAGAGTAGCATAAGAATGACACTCTGTCGTTCTGTGCGTATTACAAGAATAATTTTCTAACATGAAATTTTTCTTTCGACACTAAATTGATTTCGAGTTATTTAATGCGTGTGCCTACTTACACAATAATAAATTGATTAAAAAAATTTACATCAGAATTTTCTAGTAAGGTAATAATTACAAACAACTGTACACTTTCATTTCTTATTATGTTTTGCTATTACGCAAATACATAAGACCAACAAGTAATGAAATTTTTCTTTTTTGATAAAAGTGTTAATTTTTATGACTCTGTACGAGTATAACAAAATATATCACAACTACAAGCAAAATACATATACATTGTTGATATAGCTAGTAGGAATTCTTTTATATTATTTAAAGTGAAATAGACTCCTTGAGAACTTATAGATGATGAAGAGTGAAAAAAACAACTATAGAGAATAATGTAGTGTTATAATATTGAATCCTTAAATTAATTGAGAATTTAATTAAGAATTCTTGTTAAAATATTTTCAAGATATTTTCATGACTTTTCTCTTTGAAAGTGTTATATTAAAATTATACGTTTTCCAGTAAATTATCTTCACTTTTTTGCTGCTTCATTTTATAAAAGGTCCTTTAGATTTTTTGTGTTTTCTTTAAATTATACTTTAGATTTTTATATTTGTATTGAAACAGATTAATAAGAGAAAGAAACTTTTAAAATCTTAAAGAATTAAAAAAAAAATCTATAGTATAATAAAAAAATTTTTTTTTAATATTTCAAGATTTTATGAATTTTTCTACTTTATTTTTAATGCTTTTTTATTTTCAGTTAAAAAAAACTTCTACTTTTGAAAGGAGTTTGGATCATAAATGTTTGTATTTGGATTTTTGTTATACAGAATTCTTTTGAATGTGTTATTTGACTAAAATTCAGAAGTATTGCATAATTGTGGTGTTGTCAGCTTCACAAATTTCTCTTTCACTTTTAAATATGAAAAATGTGAGCTCAGCTATGAATAAAAGATGGTCATATTTTTTTACTAGTGTGATTTTTTACACCATCCAATAATTATCAGTTCGTTTAATACAATAAGTAGATCTTTTTCTCGGATTCGACTTGAAAAATTGGTAAGAACGATTAAACATCCAGGTCGCTGAGTGAATCAACTCTTGCAAAACTTTGGCCACTTAATTTATAATCAATGTACACTTATTCACATTAATTTTCAAGTTGTTACTAGTACACCATCCGTAAAAGTTATTTAAATAATTTCTAAGAAGAAGAACTGTATCATTAATAGAACGGATTTTTTTTTTTGAAAATCTTCATTTAACATCTGCATAAATTAGCATTTCCCTGAAATTCAAAACAGATGCAATATCATTAACAGCGATGTCCCAAATAACTACCTTCGGGAACCCCAGAATTTTCGAAAAAGAGTGACGACACTGATGTGACGAAAGACAACTCTGTATTTCCTACCTCAAATTGGCTAGGAACCAACCCAATTTACAATCATATCAAGAATTTCTTAAAATTACTCTGCATTTATTAAATATTCCACTTGAATTCTCTGCATTTTTTGAATAAGTAAGCATAAAATATAAATTTAGAACGAATTTAGCAATAGATTAAAGTTATTATAGTAAACTTATAGTTAACGGAACGGAAAATCGGGGCCAATATTTACTACGATTCAAATATAACCAAAATCTAACTTCCTAATTGAAGTGAAAATTAAGTCTAATCATGACATACTGCCTATTTTAAAGCTTTAGGCTAAAAATAAATAAAATTCTTATGAAAATTAAATAATTTTGAATTTAAATTTTAAATAACACTTTCTGTTATACAAAACTCTATACTTTCTGTTATACAAAACTCTATATGTGTAAATAAATTGTGAACAAAATTGTCAATTATAAACTCAATTTTAAAATTCTATTTTTATTTTTGTTTTTTAAATGTCTATGATTTTAATAAAATTCAATCAAATCACTTTAAAAAAAAATGAAATTAAGCAAAGTGTTTTTATAAAATTTTTGAGGTAAATGCTTGTGAAAAGAAACAATTTTTGCCAGACCAAGCATAAATCAATTTGAAAATCAATTAAAATTCATAAAAGTTGTTTTCTTCCAGTTCGAATGAAATTTTTTTTCCCACACATTACGCATACTAAAATTGTTTAATACTGAATACAAGTTAGTAGTCAAATTAAGGAATTATTCTGCTGCTCTTGAAATTAACAATTCAACTATAATTTTATAGTCTAAACTAAATATTATTAGATTTGATGGCAAATTATTGAAAACTGCAGCTATAAGGTCTTGATTTTATACCCAAACCGAGTGGAGGCGTTCGTATACTAAATTTGCTTGAATTCTTTATTCCATAATTCCGACGGTTACGGAACAAAACTTCGAATGAATAGATCTCACTTAGCAAACTTTACTTTGCTAAGTGATAACAGGGACTCGCAATAGGTCTGAATAAATATTGTACTTTTTGAAAAATTACTCTTATGCGAGCAGATATAGATGAACTAAAATAAACTTTCTAGAACATTTTCAAATATTTATGGAAAAGTGTTAAAGAACTACTAGTTAATTACAAAAAAAAAAAAAAATTTAACAAAAAAATTTTTTAATGAAAAAATTTTACACACATAAAAAGAGAAAAACTTTTTTCATTTAAAATTTTTTAAAAACAAACAAAATGACCCTTTTTTTTGCACCCATATCATAGTATAAGCAATCATATACATATACCTATATAAAATTAACACACATTTATGCACATATATGCAATAATGCCTACATATTCTAGGATATTGTGTGAATAAACCATAAATTGCTCTAAAAATCTTAAAATAGAAATAACCACATGGGAAATTTTAAAAATTTGCATTGCTGTTATTCTTCTCTTATCGAATTGTTGAAGAGAGTAAAATTTCAAAATGGTAGATTTTACGTGCCCCTATAGGTATGCAAAATATTATTTTTTAATACAATATGAAAGTTTTTTTAAAAGAAATAAATTTATTTAAATGAAAATGTCAAGATATATGAAGCACGTAAACTCTTATATCTGATCTAAGTTTTAACTTCATAGTTGTTGAGCATGCTATTTAAGAGAAAGAATGTGCAATTCAGAATAAAATAAAATTTCCAATTATTAATTTTGAAAGAAAATTGTTGAATAAGAAAAACTTTAAAATTTTCTTTGTTTCGTTTCAGACGTAGAAAACTTCAAACTTTTTTTTTTACAAAATATTAAATATGTATGTACGTAATAATGAATGTACTTTAGTTAACTTTTATTTAAAAAGTTTAAATATATTGACCTAGAAAACATTTAGTTATAAATTAGTTTTGTAGAATAACATATTTTAGTATATGTATATAGAGTATAGCATGTGATGTATAATGGATTCTATTGGAATATACTACAATTGAAGATTGTTTGATGTGAAATCAGAAATTGCACGGTATTTAGAGAGTTGATTTATATGCTTTGATGACAACAGCAGAATACAGCAAATTTCGGGAGCAGAAAAATCATGTTTGACATACTCTCTATATTGTAAAGGAATATAACCAGACTCCCTCTAGATTGTAAATTGTAGATTGTGTAGATAAGGGTTTATTGTGCCACTAGATGTAGACACGTCTCTGCAACACACTCTTGAAACCAATCTTCCTGATACATTCTTGTGACTTAAAGGTCGGTCGAAGTGTGTACTCAGTTCCCCATTATTTTCTTTCTTTTGTGAGCCAGACCTACTGGTCTACTAATTCTCCACGTAAAATTTGCATATACCCCAACAATCTAAGTCAGGGCAATACAAGGATGTGAAATCTGAACATGGTTCTTGTCCTAATCTTTCTGATGTTTCTAAAACGCCTCTGGTTATAGTCTCCAAGAATCTCCGCGGCCTGTTGAACACCATCTCTCAATTGTCTTTCTTAATTCCTCCTCATTTCTTGGCTTAATTCTACACGAACCATAAATGGTCCGATACTGCAGAAGGAGTCGAAACTAAAAACAAGTATGTTAACTCCCTCCTCGTCAACAATACCAAGTGCATGACATAATAAGAGCAGAATTAATTATTGAAGAGAAAAGAGAGGACATTTATTATTTGTATTATATTTTCTCTTTTTTTGTGCATTGGGTTTGAATTCATCTTTCAACATTCGAAGAGAGGGAAATGGCTTTGGAAAATTACATATTTCTCCAACTCTGTGCAAAAATACACACATATTTCCATGATAATAAACATGAACATACAAAAATCTTATGAAAAAATATTTTTAATTTTGTACCTTGTGACAATGCTCGAAATGTTGAATAACCAGCAATACCAAAACATGCAGCTACAGACCATGCAAATCCAACTGATATATGTGTGACTTTCTCCCATCTTTCTAGTGTTGCTGTTCTCATCGATTGATAAACAAGAAATGTGTTATGATGACACATAAAAGCTGTATGTAAAGTAAAAGAGAAAAAAATAAAATAAATGTCAAAAATAAATAAAAGTAAAACCAAGGATATTTCTTGTTATATTTATTTTAGTCCTTTTTATTTTTAATTTTTTATTGCCATATTTTTTTCTGTTTTTCAATATTGTTTTTCTTGTATAAAATTGTTAAAAAAAAAATATTTTATTTATTTACTGATTTTCTCTAAAAAAAATTTCATTTTCAATATTTTATGTTTTTTACTTTTTGTATTTATTTTTCTTTGGTGTGTGTAATAAAATACAAAATTATATTACCAAAAGCCATGATTCCTGTTGCTGGAATAACATCAACATTTGCAAATCGCCATGAATCTGGTGTATCAGGTCTTAAAAGAAAAAAAATATACCAATAAAAACCAACAGGAAATTTTATTTTAAATTTATGTTTTTTTTTTTTGTTTTTGGAAAAAAAGAGAGAATTTTTCACAGATCAGTAAATAAATTTAAAAATAAATATTTATGTATGTGAATTTTTTTTTTTGGAAATTGGAAATTAAAATCAAAATGTCAGAATTTTTAAGATAGGAATAGGGTGGACAATAAAAAAAAAAATTTAATAATTTTGTATGTAAAATTTTGAGAGTGGTCTGCTAAATCAAATTGCAATGAAGAGAACAGTGAAATTTTGAAGAAAAATTTTTCGATTTCGACAGCTATTTTTGATTTAGAACCATAGCAAATCCAATTTTTCATTATTTTTCGAGGCTAAATGTAAATTACTGGCGCACACTTCATTAAAATATGTGATTTTCCATTTACAAATATAAAATTCTTGTTCTATTCTCCCATTATAATCCCATAGTTAGCTAGTCACACTAAAAATGTCCATATTTTATAGTATTTATTTCACAAACAGCTAGTACATATACACATACTCTTATAACAATAATTCAAATTTCTTAATTTAATTCAAAATTGTTCTATTTAAATTCAAAATTTAAAAGAAATTCTACACGACTTGAAAAATATTTTTTTTATTTCTCTCTTAAATTTTGCTCTTTATTTTATTTCTTTGGAAATAAAGTTTTCATTTAATTTATGTAAATGTTCCCTTAGTGAATTTCTAAAATAGAAAACATATGTATGGATGTGTGTTTGTATGTACGTATACTAAATATATTTTCTTTGAAAAATTATTTGGACTGTGAACAAACTGCAAGTATTAAAAATAAATAAACAAAAAAAAAAAATTTACAAACTTCTTTAAAATTGTTTCATAATATTTGTATACGAGTATGTAAGTATAGTGTTAAAAAACTTGTTATATTTAGATCAATATGCTATTATTAAAATATTTGTATACATACATAACATTTATTAGAATGTACAGAAAAATTATTTAGAATGAAAAGTTTTTAAGTCGAAATTCGATAAAATAAATTTAAAAAAAAAATTTTTTTTTCTCTGTGTATTTTACATTTTAAAACCAAAATAACCAATATTGATTAAATAGATTGGTTATAACTTTACTATATAAACCATATGTATGACAGTTTACAGAAATTCGTAATGGAGTATAAGATGGACCATTAAGTATTAAATATATAAAGCAAGGGTTACGGAGCATGAATGTGGAAGGAAACGTAAAATCAGAACAACGACACCTTAAATCAAAACTACAGATGCGATTGTATCAGTTTTTGTTTATTTTGGGTAAAAATTAAAAAGTATATAAGTAAACGATGCTTCATTTCCAATCCGAAAACAGAATTTTGTGAAAATGATTAAGAAACATTTGAAAAATCATGTTCATAGCTATAAAATAATAAGTTTTCATCAATAACAACTATAAGATTTCTTGAGAAGGTTGTCTTTGGAAACTGATGATTGCTTACACGATTATCAATTAAAATCCTCTCCTAGTATGGTAGAAAAATGTAAATATCCTTGAAAACGTGTTTACTTTTATGTATTAAGCTTTTGATGGAAAACGTTCTTAAAATTAATAATGACATTTAATCAAAGAGGGCCTTAGTTTAAGAAAAAAACAAATGCACCTAGTTAATCTTGAAACATGTCTATTATCATACTCAGTATATAGTTTTTTAAAGGTTGCACTTACTTCTTCCGTATTCAATTGAATTTCAAGTTCTTGAAAATATTTTACTTCGAGTTTGTGGGGATAAAAGCGAAAATTTAAAAATTTATCCGATAATTTATTGTTTGATTAAATTTTATACGTGTTCTTTGAACTAGAAACTGGACACAATAAAATTCATATCTTTAATATATTTTAAATATTCTTAAAGAATTCAAATTATCAATCTTTAATATAATATACATGAATATTTTATTACCTAATCCCGTAAAAAATAAAGCCTCGTTAACCTTACATATACTTAAATACATTTTAAATTTATTTATTCATAAAAATTTCTTAATCCACGAATTATTTAAATTTTATTCAATATAATTTTCGAAATAGAGAGAAAGAGAAAGGGTGTGCAGTGATAGAGAGGGGGGAGGGGGGTTAGAGAAAAGGGAGTGAGATGTTCAATATTTTTATTACTTAATATTTTTAATGGATTTTTAAATTCTATCAAAGGATAAATAAATAATAATACAAAAAAATATTGAATAATCGAATCGAATTTCAATTTATTCAAAGTAATTATTATTATTTTTTCTATTTCTTCTTTAAAACGATATTATGGGAATTTCAAATATTTGCCAGTCGCTCAATTCTTTAAAAAAATATGAAAAAAAAATTTAGAGCAAATAACAAAATTTTTACAGAATAAATTATTTTTTATTAAAAATGAAATATTTTGATCGTATATTTTTATATCGTATATTTTTATATCGTATATTTTTATATATAAATATGTTGTAATAGAAGAACCTAAATCGATTTAGTACGAAATTAAGGCATTAGTCCTTGCGTTCAATTCTTTGTATTTTAATTTATAATCCTGCACAATTTGGTTCTATTCGAAGAATTCTAAGATGATGGTAAAATTCAAAAGAGGGAAATTCCCGTCAAATAATTTTACTTATAATAGGTAATCATGCTTTAAATAAATCTACTAAAATTTCTTAGTAAAGTTACGATTCGTTACTCTTATTTTGTAAGTTGGGCTGGTATAAATTCCTAATTTGTTTTACATAAAATCTTATTGCAACAGTTAGAATTAATTTTAAAGGTTACGAAAAATTATTATTTTCTTTTGCATTGTGAAAGGTCAATGTCAATTTTAATTTTTAACTCTATTATTCATAAATGATGGGTAAAATAAAAAATTTTTTCAACACATCTGGTGTCTACATTAAAATATTCATTAAAAAAAGTAATTGCTTTGTGTAATCCGGCAAAAAATTGAAATTTTATAAAACCCTGTATATTATAAATGTCGGAGAATTTCACATATGACACATAAAATATGAAAAAATATTAAATTTGTTGAAATGAGTCAATTTACTTTATGAGATTCCAAAAAGAAAAAATTCTCAACTCACATCAATGAATTAATGACTGTGTGTTGAAATTTTTTGAAAAAAGAGAAAAATGATATTGTAATTTCTCCCTTCCCCTCTGTTAAACATTTAGTAAATTTAGTTAAGGAAACGATCAACCAAATACTTTAAAATCATCCACATATACGCGGCAACACATTCGATATATATACGATTGCTTACGAGTTTCACAATGAGTTGTTGAAATTTAATTCACATGAAAACTCTCATATTTTTCAGTCAATTAATTTGAGGCTAAATTTTTTCTTTCCTTTACCTCTAATATAAGATGAAAAAAAAAACTCCATGATTTTCCAAACAAATCAAAATTTTCATCTTTAATCATTCTTCATTTTTTTTTATTCTATTTATATTTTGTTCTTTCATCTTTTTTTTTTAAAAACTTATTCTTTATATCAGTGTTTCTCAACGTGGGTCATATGGTTCTCTAGTGGGCCACGATGCATTTAAAGGGGGCCATAGAAAGAAGAAGTAAAATTTGGAAGGGGGGGGGGGGGGCACGGTAATTTTTTAGGAGGCCACAGCTGTTTTTGCTAAAGAACAAGCATGTATATGTTTGCGCTGATCTTAACCCGTTAGTTGTGTATACACTTTCATAGAAATCGTATCAGAGCTTGTTATGAAAGCGGGCCATATACACGTGGTACAGCATCAGAACAATTAAAATGGGTATTGCAAGCAAATTAATTATTTAGGGGGGGAGGGGGAGAGGGCACAAGTAGAAACAGGTTGAAAACCACTGCTCTATATACTAAACTCTTTTCTATACTTTTATCAGTGATGATGATTATGGTGATGGCAAATGATTATGATAACAACGATGATAAAATGATAAGATAAATTTTGTATATGAGTTTGTTAAATTATTTGGTAAAAAGAAAATGTATATGTATATATATAGAAAGGATAATATCCTCAGGAGCTTCAACACATCATCATCATCATAACACATGTAGGTGATATACTCGCAGAAGACCATAATATGAAAAAATGTATGAGAAAATGAAACATCAAAATTATTATTTGAAGTAAATTTAATGTTTGTGTGTATGTATACGAGTAGTGAAACAAAACACCTACATAAACACTGTTTCCAATTTAACTTTGAAGTAGAGTAATAATTTTCGTATTCAGTTTCCTTCAAAAAAATTTTTTTTTCTTTTTTTTGCTAAAAGAAAACATAATTTACCACTTTAGTATAGAAAATTAATATACATAGATATATAAAAAAACAGGGAGCGCTATAATCTCTCTCTTTTCATATTAAGAAGCTAGAGAATTATTAATTTGATTTAGAAAAATTTCGTGTGAATTCGGAATTCCAGTATATGAAGAAGCTTATCTTCCCAATTTCAAAATTGTTCAAAGTTTAAGTCAGTGTTGCCAAATTGTGGGAAATTTCCCATTTTCAGGGAAATTTGTAGCCTTGAAGGGAAAAAGGGCCAAAATCGTGGGAAATTCCATTTTCCTTAAATTACTTATTTTAATTTCTTTTTTCATTGGTGACACTTGATTAAAAATAAAAAGTCCTACTATTTATTTTGAAGCTCTCTTAAACTAGAATAACCATTTTAAGTACCATTTTAAATAAACATTTTTAATTAATTTATGCAATTTAATAAATGCAATATTTTTGTTTTGTATAAGTACGTTTGTCCATTAAGTAAAAGCCTAGATGAATGTGTATAAGCAAAAAATTTCTTAAGGGGAAATTATATGGAAGAAATGGGATTTGGAAAGGGAAGAAATGGGAATTTTTGAACTAAATGTGGTAAATTGAGCGAGAATGAGCTAGCAACACAGGTTTAAACATCGAAACTGAAGAGAAAATTAAAATGCGAATTTTGAGTTCGGAACTATTGAACGAATTAAATTTCAATGAATATTTAAAGAAGAATTGGAGTGAATTAACTATTTTTTTTTTTATTTTACTCTTATTTTTTAATTTTAACCTTCTTAATAATATGATGTAGGGCAATCCCCTTACGTCACTCATTAATCAATTACAATAAATTATGTTTGAAATTTTGACAACAAAAAGTCATGAATAGAAAGATATAATAGCCACAGAATTGCTTCAAGTTGTAGGTAATCAGATTACACTAGCATAATATAAAATATTTCTTATAAATTACAGGAATTTTGTAGAATTACCAGCAATCTTAAATATTTAATTACAGCAAGATGAAAATCTCTTCTCTTTTAGCAAGAATAATTTATTTACGATTTGAAATAATTGTTTTCTACCACTGATGTATACAACATGCTATTTTAGAAGTTACCTTTGTTTCTATAAAATATTTAGTTTTTTTTGTATTATTTTCTCTTAATGGGTGAACTCAATATGCTTCGAATCGTGTTGCTTTTAACACAACGAAAAAAAAACGAAAAAATATTTCTGAAAAATTTTTCTCAACTAAAAAAAAATAAATTTTTTCCCCTTATTTAGAATAATAAATTTTTAAATCAAATTTTATTCTCTTAAAGGTGCGGAGTAGCACAAAAATGAAAGCTTTAGAAGAAAAAGAAAAAAAAGAAAAAAAAATTAATTTTAAATTACGCCATCTCATAAAACTCAAAGAGAAAATAAAAATAAAAAACAACAAAAAAAGAGAAGAAAAACAAAATAAAAAAAAATCATACACTTTTATATTGGGGTACCTTTTTCAAGGATATTAAGAATGTTGTAATGGTAACGTGATTAAGACAAAAAGAAAATTATATAGAGGAAAAGCATATTGGTTCTGACAATTTTCCAATAAATTATTTTAGATTTTTATGTTAAGATAAAAAACAAAAAATAGGAAAAATAAGAAAACGGACGAATGAAAAAAATTTAAGTACTTTTTGTTTTCGTTCAATTTTGTTATGGTATTTTTTTTTGGTTTCTCATTATTGTGTTTCTGTATTTTTATTATTGGACTTTCTATTTAAATTTTAAGAAAAAACTGCAATGAGTAAAACTTAAACTGTATACTTGATAAGATTAAAATTTGACCTTTTGATATAAGAAAATTAAACTTTTTATTTTTTGTTTCAGATTGATTTAGGTAAACCTTCAAAAGTAGATACTTATCCCTCTTAAGTAGAGTTTTTGATTTGTGATAACTGCTGAACTTATTTTACAACTTAATAGTATATTCAAAGAAATAAGGAAAATAACTGGAAGAGAATGTCTATAGTAACAACGACATGATGAACTATTTAAGGATTTGGACTATTTAATTTTGGAATTTTTTGTTCAAGCTATTCAAGAAAATACTTGAATTTTTTGGAAAAAAAATTTAAATATTGCATATGCGGAATATAATCCCGACCATTACGATTAAAGTCGTTTATTGGCAACGATCAGGCTAGAGGAATTAGGTCGTAGGAATTGGAAAATTGTATTCCAGATAATGTGGTGATAAAACAAACAGAATCCATTCCGCCTCAAAATTCGTTTAATTCTTCTGTGGTATGTCAAGAAAGCGGTTAGAGCTGCTCCTTATTTCTAGTTCTAAATGTTGAACGATGCATATAACGGTTAGCTTTCGGAGCGGGTGCAGCACATGAAAGTGTAATTTGCAAAAATTTATATATGCTGTTGGTCGTTTGTGAAAATTTTTGAAATGAGCCGCAGTGCATCGCTGAGGAGGCCGCTCGTATATCTGAGTAGTAAATGGTCTTCATCATTTATGAAGTAATACTCAGATATACGATCCGTTTACATAGATTACGTCCCTATAAGCATGACAAGCTGTTTTATAAGTTTTTTATCTTCAAATACACCTAATAATATAATATATATTTTTAACATTTAATAAACTAAATATTTAATTAATGAAACTATTATTTATACTTACACATTATACTCTCCAGAAATTAATTTTATTATAACTGCAAATAGTATGAACACAACACAAGCTAAACTAATAAAGCTAGCTCTCGCCAATCTAGATACATTTTTATATAAACATAGTGGTATAACTATACAAACAGTAACGAAAAATACCACCAATAATCTAACAGCACCCATTGATGAACCCCATGATGGTACAAAACGTACTAAAACTTTTGATAGTGTATCACCTACAACCACATTATAAGAAATCATCGCTGAAAAATAACAAGCAAATATAAAATTTTATTAAATTTCCGTCCATACCCACATACACATATATAGTAAGTAAATTAATATTGTCATTTTATATTATGTATGTTATATAAATATTAATAAAATGTATGACGCTTTAAAAAAAAATAGAAAAATTAAGAAAATACAAAACAAAAAATGATAAATTAAAAAAGTTTTAATAAGTTTCATATAGGTAGGTAGGTGGACTTCAACTTGATTTTTCAATGAATGTTAAAAAAATTAAAAAAATTTTTTGTTGTCTAGAGAATATTCGCGAGTACTTTTGATAAAAAAAAGAGATTTTCTGGGAAAAAATTAAAATAAAAATAAATTTTTTTAAGTAAAATTCAGAAGTGGAGACTATTAGCAATTCGAGGTACACTTGTACTTCAATAAAATTAATTGTAAACAGAGGGCTGCAATTAATAATCCAATTATTCGAAATTTTAGCTCGAAAATGCGGGAATGGATTAAGGAAAGCAATACGCATACGAATGTAACCGGAAGTTGGATAAGAACCCACGTATCAGTATATAATGGTGGCAGTTCTCGGTTTTCCAGCACTGCATCTAGTCATCAAGAAAACAGCTATTGCACATGTTAGGTCAAGTTACATGGGAGAGAATTATGAACATACCAAATAACTTCCTTTTTATCTTTTGAGTTTTTAAAACACTCTTATATACATTAATTTTTATATTCCCAGTTTTATTTGACATTTCTCTATATTTACTTTTAACTCTTGTATCAAACTATTGTAAACACATCAATTTAAAAAATGTATCAAACTTTGGTAAACTCGTCTTAATTAAGTCGATATAATCGACATAGTTGAATCGATTAATTTTGTAAATAAATTTGACATATTATAATAATTTTTTATTATGTAGTTGAGTTCAGTTCGATTAAATAAATCACGCGCAATGGATGTTAACTGACAAAAAATATTTTGTAAGAAAAAAGACACCATATTGGTTTTAAGTTTTTGTATTCATCCAATCGCAGGTTCATCTATTTTTTCACACTTTGATAAAGGATTTCGACAAAAAAGCTTTTCTGAACCGCAAGTATTTTTAAGTTACAGAAGAAGTAATTTACAAGTAAAACGCTGAATAATCACTTTTGAAGTTAAAAAATCCTCTGGAATGACATTTTTTTCTCCGCATGTATTTCAGAAATTTTTTGGTGAAAATCTTGAACATCAAATTTTGTTTCAAAGACTAATTTAATATTGAAAGAAGAATGAAAAGGTTTGAGATTACCAACCACTGATATTTTGCTTTTTGAATTAATAAATTTTCTTTGATGGTCTAGTGTAGACTCGTTTAATTTGGTAGGGATTAGAAGTTTATCATTTGAATTGCTTTTAGAATTACTAATTTTAATTTCAGTCAGGTATAAATTATTTTAAGAGAAAAGTTATCAATATTCTTTGCACTCTGTCTTTATATCATTATTATTCGAATAGACTGTTTAATTATTTCTTTATATTTCAAATATATTTGAAATTAAATCAAAAGACATTCTTGTAATTTATATCAGAGCTCACATTAGAGTACTCGTATTTCATAGTGTTTTCTTCTTAATAATTGTTATTTTTATAATGAAGGAATTCCTTATATTTTTTAAGAAATATTCATTGATTGTTAAATGTACCTCTGGCCTTAAATTTATGATTGTATAATTATTATTATTATATTTTTGAAAAATATAAGTAAACCACTACAACTGTTTAAATACATAAATGTAATATTAACTATACTGTTATGAAATTTTCTGCAGTTACAAATTAAAATTGTAAAATAACATTACAGGTTTTTTTTCCATATTTTCATCTATCCTTGAAATTTCAACAATATTATTCTATTGCAGATAATAGAAAGCAAACAAAAGAACTGAAATTATCCAAATATATAGCTTTCATATACCAAATCAATAATATTGTAAGAGTAATAATAAAAATATGCAAATCATAACCTTACTTTTCAGTTGCATTTTTGTTTTTTTTTGTCTTTTACCGAGAAAATAATTTCTGATTATTTTAAAAATACAATGATTTACAAGTTGTAAAAATCCCCATATAAAATTTAAATAAATCGATTTTTTTTTTCCACAAACAAAAGAAAATCTGAAAAAGAAAATTACATATTTACAGGCGTTCCTTTTTTTTGTTTTTGAGTGCAAAACAAAGGAAAATAATGCGATTAGGCAGCATATGATCGACTACGTTGAATGTTTTCTGAGTAATTGGTTTAACAAAAGTGCTATGATTATAATATTGAAAATGTGCCCTTAATAGCTTTTATTTCAGTACATAAGTAAAGTCATAAGTAAAGTGTTAATTTGGTTCTTAGTAGAGAGAGATTCTTTACTTTGTGTCATGCACGACGGCATCTTAAAGGGATATTTGTTCACGATGGTGTTTGAGAAAACTCAACATGGTAGTATGAAATGTGATGCCATCACAATACCTCTCTTGTTTTTTGATGTATGGCCAGTGAAAAACAGAAATGTTTAACATTTTTTTTTATTGTATTTGGAAAACATAATTTTATTACCAAATCATATTACAAAATCAACCATTTTATAAAATTGTAAAAACGAAAATTCCATTTATATTAAATGAGATTTGGTAGAAAAGGAAAAACAAAAAACGATAATAAAAATGGAGAAGATAAAGAGAAAGTCGAAATAATTTTGTAACTGCCGACAATTATAAAAGTTTTGGAACAGAAAATTTGTTTTTGTTGTCTATTGTTTACTCTTCTTGTGTTTCGCCGCAGTCTAGTAAAATCGTAAAATATAAGATAAAAAGAAAAGAAGAAATCGAATTAAACAAGCTTTAAACCGTTAAAAATTTCTTTGTTATCACTTCTTTTAAATTTTAATTTTTCATTGCTTTCCAGTGTGATTTTCATTGCTTATGCATTTATTTTTTTCTGGGCCTTGTTCTTTAAAAGGAAGAGGAGTGGGTCTACTTGGATTAGGAATTTATCGAGGGTACTTTGGTAGAATTTTTAATTTTTGTTATCGGATTATTCTTGAAGTTTTTCGTCTAACAGTATTTCAGTTGCGATATTGCAGAACTACTCGTAAGAGTAAAAATACAGATATTTGCAATAAGTGGTTAACAAAATTTTTTTTCTTTACTCTCCTTGGGAGCACAGGACTTGCACTTGATATCTTTATCTGGTTCTATTATTGGTCAATTTTTTAACTTGATCCCAAGTCAAGGCTGTGCCCTCTAGATGCTGTCCACGTCAATTATTTCTGGGAAAACCGGGCTTTCCCGATCCTTGTAGATTTAAGCTTCATTACAACCACTTTAAACTCATTCTGCAAATATTACTGAAAGGTTTCCTTTTAATGAAACTTAAGCAGAAAAAAATGTAAAAATGGTTTTTGTTTAATTTTTATTTTCACTCGTGGGAATACAATAAACAACAACAGCAAATAATCAAAAATAACCGAATCACACAATAAAAATAAAATTAATACTAAGCGTAAAAATCACTTAAATACCACAATCAACACACATCAATATTACACAAAACAAAATCATATGAAATAAATCTGATGAATTTGAAAAAAGACACAAAATTTAAAAATTAATCTAATTATAATTGCAACAATAATTTTTTAAAAATAAATTTAAATTTATTTTTTTGAATAGTTCTTCTTTATCCTTTTATAAATTTATTTAATAACAATAGAAATAAACTTACCTAAAAATGGGTACATAAATTGTAATAGCGATAGTAAATAATATCCTTTTTTACCATATGCTGCTTCCATAATACCAGGATAACTAAAACGTCCACAAATATGACCACATCGAACCTGAAATTACAATATAAAAATTTTTATTGTATTTTAATAAAATATTGCTTCCAGTAGAAAAATTTTAATTTTTGAAAAAATTTTAGATTTTAATTACATTTTGAAATCGAAAAAAAATATTTTTTTTTAAATAATGTAATTGAAATTTAAATCTGGTCGGGTTGTAATTTCAATAAAGTAAATAAATTTTTTCAAGGATGGTATTGGTCTTATCAGCAGATTTCAACAAAAATATAATGATTTTGCATTAAAGGAACCGCTGAATGTTGACCGCAATATTTTATAGTTCCAAACACCGTAAAGGATTCTGTTAAAGCAATCATCTAGTAACTAGAGAGAATGTTATATTTAATATTTTATGTTGCTTACGTTTTATATAAAAATATTGAATTTTTTACATTTTACGTAAACAACATTGAGTTATTTACGTTTTCTATGAAAATATTGAATTTTTTACATTTTACGTAAACAACATTGAGTTATCTGCGTTTTATATAAAAATATTGAATTTTTTACATTTTACGTAAACAACATTGAATTACTTACGTTTTACAAGAAAGTATTTAGTTTTTTACATTTTACGTAAACAACATTGCGTTATTTACATTTGTTGTAAAAATATTTAGTTTTTTTTACATATTATTTAAATATACTATACGAAAACTCTGGTAATTATCCCAAATCTTAAAATGCAAAAAAATGCACCAATGATTTTATACAAATTAACATTTAGTCCAAAGAAAATTAATTGAAATGAATTCTCATTAACAACTTCCTGTGGTACGACACGTAAAGAACAAAATGTTTAATAGGAAAATTTTGTTGACAAAACTTCTCTCATGTTTTTTTTTTTAACTTAATTAAATTTATCCTTTAATATCCGAATTTTCTTTAAGAAGCACTAAAGATTTTCATAACATTTTTCATATTTTACTCTTTATTATTTTATTATAATAAACTTGAATTATTGTCATCTTATATAATAGAATATTATTACTGTTATACTAGTATTATATACAATTATGCTAGTTATACAAAATACAACTGTATCTGAATGTAACTAGTTACATATACACAAAGAGAAAAATTAAGTGAATAAATATTAAAGAAAATTACATTTTGTATATAAAATAATATTTGCAATATATTAAAGATTAAATAGTATGAAAAGGATAAGATGATAAAATAAATATTAAAAAGGAAGCTTTTTATCATAATTTTTTTTTTTTGAATTTCTGTTTGGTATTTTGTCTTGTTTTTCTATTTACGCTTGTATTGTGATCCATTTGTTATGGTAAATGATGTGCAAAATTGAGAGTGAGTTTTTTTTTCGTTCTACAATAGCAAGGACATTTTTTTTTTTTTTGGTAAAATTCTGTAAACAATTTATAGAAAATTTTAAGGTCTTATATTAATAAATTGGTTGGTTTTCTTATGATGAGTTTGTATAGAGCTTAAAAAAATCTTTGAAAAATTATCTCGTGGTTTTGTATTAAGTGCGGCACATTATATTTGGTGCTGATATTGGGTAAAAAATTTTGACAAATGCTGTTTTCTTTGAATACAGTAGCACAAACCAACAGCAAAAATTAAATAATCACCAAACTTTTGAAATGGTTAAGAATTGCAAGAAAAGTGTCTATCTTTATAATTGGCCGTGTCTAAAATTTTGTTATTATTTTTTATATTGTTATGGGAAAATATCTTATGTTCAGATCGTACCCAATTTCACTAATCATACCATATTTACGTAAAAATTTACTTCCATACATGTTCAATTCTTTTGATATATTCATGTCTCTTATATATGAACACGATCGTATAGGATTAATCTGATTGAGCGAAACTTACTACTAATACGTATATAGTAATGCACCAATACGTATATAGTAATAGTAAATACTATTACTATATACGTATTGGTGCATTACGAGATTATATTTGAACTTCGTTTTAGATAATATATTTCTGAGACCCTATATACAGGGCCTCATTTAAACATTGGTATTTAACAGATTCCATTTCCTATTCAATACCTCTTAAAAAACATTATGCTAGTTTTCAAAACCTCTTCAACGGATTTTACTAATTTCGAAACATGAGGTTCTGATGAGCCAACAAACAAAATTTGAACAAAATTTATAAAACTTGAAGAAGAGAACTTTTAAACGATGTGGCACACATGACAATTTCCTTCAAATTTAAATCCAACTTTCTTGAACTGATCTTTAACAAATTTTTCAAAAATTTTCTTTTGTAAATAATTCCGGTATCGGAGCTTAATATACGAATTTTATAAAAATATTCAAATGTCATGCGATTTGAACTGAATACCCTAGAAATAGCCGATACAAACATTTTATCTATTCTCATTTTCTACTCGTATATGGTATAAATATAAAATAATATTGATTTAGAAGTATAGAAGATAATAAAAGTATAGAGAACTTGAAATTTTCACAAAAAAAGTAAAATAACAACAAAACCAGAAACAAAAATAAAATAATTTCAAGGACATCGTATGGCACACACTAACCTACATACATAACATATACACACATACACACATACATAATGAATATTGAGTTATAAGCACATTTTATATATTATGAATTAATTTTTATCCTGAAATTTTTTCTGAATATACGAATTTAATATATTATAGATATATTTAAGGTTATGACGAGGATATGAGGCATAAAAGATGAATTATACATTTAAAGTTAATTTATCTAGGGTCCAGATTTTTCTGTTCTCTATTATTCTTTCAATGTTCGTTTAAGTAGAAATTTTTATATGCTTGAGAAAAGGTAAAATAAAATTTTTTTTTTTTTTTACTTTTCTGCACATTATTATTAAATTATTTTGATTTTAGATTTTTAAAGAATTGAGTAATATTTTTTATAAAATTTAAGGAAAAGAATATTATTTAAAGGAGTTTGTATGTAGATAGAGATTTTTAGGCAGAAATCTTGAAAATAATTTACTTATGGAGAAAAGGGGAGGTGAGAAATTTATAGGAAAAATTTTATTTACTCATAAAAATATTTTTAAATTATTGATTTTTTTTTTCTCCTTTGTAAAAAAAATCTAATTTTGAAAAACAAGTCACGAACTCATCCCACCTGTAGCAATTTGATTTATAATGTAAACAATAGAAATTTAATATTACGTAAACAATTTTGATATTCTCAAAATGTGTAAAAAAGAATCTGATGTGGTCAGCACATAACCGTTCAAAATGTTTATTGCCTAGTTTAGTGAAAATGTTACAGAAGATTATAAAAATGCCTCCAGTTTAGTTTCTGAGAGCTGATCTTTCCAAAAAATTTATAAATTCATTGTTTCAATACCCCGAATTTAAATATTAAATTTCATCGAAATTAGTTGATTATTTCTCTTTATATACGCAAAAATGTAAAATTTGGCCGGCAAAAAGATCCAGTCCCGGAGGTCTGATATATCCCAAAAATTCGTGCATATCCGTGCCATCCGTGCCACAGCCAAAATAAACTCACATATAAAATTTCGTAAAAATCGGTTCAGTCGAACTTGAGATGTAAGCGCGCACACACCGACTTACAAAGCGTCGACCGACAGATCGAATGACTAACATGTCTTCAAAAGTAGTTTATTTACGTTCCCCTTACTATGGAGAATTGGTGCCATCATATAGCCTATCTTATTGTATTTAATGCTGTCGGTAAAAATATGGAGGGCTTGAAAATATACAAATATATTGGTAGGTAATTTTTTTGTTTTAAATTTTAGTCATGTTCTAGATTTTTTAGAAAAATTATAGACAGAATGTAATAATAAATTGGAAATATTGTAGAATGTAAGTGATTTGCTTAAATCAGTTTTCTGGCTAAATTGAATGCTATAGACCTATATTCTGAGTAGAAGATGTATTGTATGTAAATTATAATAGTATACATGAATGAGTTCAATGAATGTAACTGAATTTTTATATGCTCTATCTGACAAAAATACAAGAGATAGTCTGATTCCGGTTAGTTTTTCGCTAGTATTCCATTTGGAAGTGGACCAATTTAGGCATATTTCACATATATACTCTTAGCTTTACAAAATTTATGGCGTAAATAAATGAAGAATATGAGTGTAATGGCTTAATAATAAAATAATTTCTAATTTTAACTTTGAATGTGGTTGTGTACAAAATTTTTTAAGTAAATATAGTTTCTTCATAAATCTAGACTAGAATAACTGAATTATTTAACGATTATTTACTAAAATATTTCACAAAAAATTTCCAACTTATGACGTTGATTTGAGTTTGAAGTGCATTAAAAATTTTTTTTATAAGAATCTTTTGAAAACATAATTTTGTTTAAATACTAAAATACTAAAATCCTTAAAGACTTTTACAATTTTCAATAAATTTTCAATTTAAAAAAAAAATAGTTTTTCAAGTGTTCAAGTTTAAAGAGATGCCAACTGCATTTTTCTTTCTTCTACCAGAGGAAGAAAACGAATGGCAGGAAAACTTAATAGAAATGATTAGTTGAGTTGTAAATGAAATAAGACTGAAGGTAATAAAAGTTGTTATCAAGTATATATAGAGGAAAGAATCATTTACAAAATTCAGATGAGTCGAAAAAAATTTTTCTCAAATTATTTGATAAAAATAAGAAATGGGAAATATTGACCAAAAAAAACAAAACAAATAATCTTACTTGTCTAGAGCAAGTAAGATTATTTGTTGAGCTATAGCAAATCCGACGTCAATGAGCCTTGTGTACCTATAGCAAATAGATTAAGACACAAAACTTTATAAAAACCAGTTTAGCCGAATTTAAGATACTCTGGGAGAATGATAGTGACACAATCTCAGATCGGAAATATAATAATACTGTGTCAATGCAGAACTCAGCTTATAAATACGAATTCATGAATTGTAAATCGATATGGTATTATCAGCTACGTCACTGACATTTAATTTGTGTTTCCCTAATACAAGGCGATGCTATATTTTAATAGATACCGACGCTAAGTATATTTAACTTATTAAACGTCCCGTTCTACACAACTGAATAGAGCGTTTATAAGTAAGGTTTATCATATATGTTTAGCCTAAAGTTTAACATGCCATATAGATTAAGTATATATGGTAAGCCTATTTTGTTTATTATATATTTAAGTATGAATCTACAAAGTCTAAATTATGTTAGCAATATTGTATGCATTTATTTCAATTAAATTGAATACAAAAGTTTTTAAAATATTTTCGCTTGTGGAAATTTCCTCTATGTTTTAGTGGAGCACCCAAGAAATGTACGTAACATCATTAATATCGATTATA